CCATTTTTGGAGATACTTTGATGGTCAGGGTCAAAAACTAAAATCCACAGTCCAGAATAGACAGTCCACAGTCCAGAATCCCATCCCCCTAATATCGTTGATATTAGACGGATGTGATTACAATAATCGGAGACCAGTGCTGTGGCATGCCCAACACCAGGACCCCTCTAGCTTTCAACGTGAGACCTTTGCGGCAGCCTCGGCATCCCCCTGTCAGCAGTCAGCAGTGTGGCCATTCTCAAAAGGATAGGCCGCTCCTCTCCAAAACTTGATTATTGAAATGTTATTGATAATAGAGGCACTTGTGTGGCCTCTCCTTTTGAGAATATAACAATAATCACACATATATTGAAAAAACTTGATTATTGAAAACTAATATAACATTCTTTGACACTTGTGTGGCCGCCACGTGGCCTAGTGCTTAAGCAGATCATTTTCTTGCCATAGATGGAACGTAGACCAGTGAAAATTATTTGTTGCGCTGTATCGGGCATTGGAGTATCAAGTGCCAGATATGGCTGGTCGGCCCAAATCAGTGTCAAAGAAATTGGTCCAAGACCTTAGCTGAAAGAAAATTGGTCCTGAATTAAGCAAAATAATTAGTTAATTGGTCACCCCAGGCCTAAGATAGAAGCTTCATAGCTTCAATGTTGAACATGTTCATTGAATTTCATTGATCAGCAAAATCATTTCTCAGCCCATCTCCCTTGTTTTTTTTTCTCATGACAGGTGTGCGAAACGTTGGATCGCTGGCTGCCCTCTCCTCCCCCCAAGAGCAGCATGGTAGCGTTGGAGATCGAGCCGGAAAGCTCCAGGTGCTCTGTGTTGAAGATCGTTGGAATATGGTCATGGCTTGAAAAATGGGAATTTCATGGAAAACAATGGTGATTTAAGCATCAACGGGGATTTCGTGGGATTGAATGTTTTTGTTTGTCAACCATATGGATCCATCTGGTAGTTTGTTGCATATGGGAAATGGCCCATGAAAATAGATGATTTAGCTATGAAAAATTGATGTTCAATAAAGAAAAGTAGGATATGGGGAACATGAGGATAAGAAAGGGGACCGATAGAGGTATTTTTGTGTCCTCTTTTCAGACACGTCTGGTCAACAAGAATAACGAACTCGGATGTTTTTCATGGTTAGTGTTGGGTGTCGGAACCCTTAGGCCTCGGCTATCTAGACTGTCAGCCATTCAAGATTTGTTGCATCCAAACATTGATACTTGGAATATCTTGAAATTCTCAAAATGTGAAGTTTTGTGTTTTTGTGAGTACAACTCAGGGCAGTAGACATGACCCTCCAAGTACCCATACTTAAATGGTGTTTTACCGTGTTACCCCATAGTTTTAGTACTGCATGTTACCATGTTCATCCATTTTCTGGGGTATTTGTAGGGTCAAACGGTAGACATGAAACCTGTGATTCTGCCGCAGGTATTGGCCCTATTTGAGACCAGCCGATTGTGCCGGGCTTGATCTTTGCATTCCAACTGAGTGTTGATCATGGAGATCGGATGTCAAAACCCGTGTTCCATTGTGAACAACATATCATATATATATATAATTAACTAAATATATATATATATATGATTAACTATATATATATGTGATTAACTATATATATATGATTAACTATATATATATATATATATAATTTCATGTATTTGATGTTTTATATGCATTTACTATTTTTTATTAGTACGTATTATTATTAAGATGGATGTTCATCTCCAAAAACTATGTAAAGTATCATGGGTTTTAACCCATCCCCATATCAAGCTCCATTGTTGTGCATCCCAACTTGCCCTCTGAGGTAAATGGTACATGGACAGGATTTACGTGGTCGGAGAGCTCTATGGTGAGCGGCTGCAAAAGAAGGAAATGCAAGAGATGGCAGCAGTATGCCCAGCATGATGTTATTTGCTGTGTGTTTGAAGAGGTCTCTGGTGGTTTCAACTTTGGGTTGACCTTCACAGAAGCTGTAAGGAGCTCTGGTTGAATATGTTTGAATGCTGACATTGAAGAAAACCACGAACTTGACGGAACTGGTCATTTCTGATTCTTTACACTGCGAAGAAATCTGCTTGCTTTTGAATGCACTGGAGACCAACTGAATCCAATTCACAAGACTCGGGTAATGATAGATTCAAAGCACCACCACAAAGGGGATGATAGATGGTTGCTGGAGATAGTTCTCCCATGGGCTATTGTGATGATTTATTGTAAAGCTTAACCACCTTAAAATCAAATCCAAAGGTTTTTGTTTGAAAGCGACGTAGCATCATCTGCCATGCCAGACAGCAGAGGGGATGGGAGCCTCTCTTCGCGCTTTGGCATGGCGGAAGGCAGGACGCTGACGGCCAGGGACCATTGTTTGCATAGTCATCGCTGAATAAATTCAAAGGAACTGTGAATCAGCAGCAAAAAGCGTAGGGAATTCATATCTCTCGCTCATCATTTGAATATTGGGAGTCTAGCAATATGAAAAAGTGCAGGTGTGGGAGTCATTTTGGGCCATGTACCTGAGTGATCCGCATGGCAGGCGGGCATTCCCTCGGAAGTAAAGCCTGGTTCCATTGTATCTTGGATGGCTTGCCAGTTGATGCACATCCAATAGCATGAAAAATTAGGACTACTACAACGTGGTGTAAACCCAATCATTAAACATCATAAAACAATCCCCTAGCTTGGTGTATGTAATTGGGTATACCCCCATCTGGGATAGGTTTGTTGTTTTTTAGCAGAATCCCACATGGTTGGTTGACATGGCACTGCTATAGTGTGGTAAACCCAATAATTCTTACAACACACTTTTTGATATATATAGGGTTCTTTGTGGCTACGTATAGGATACCATTATTTAGGATTATAAGATATTGTAAGGCTACTTGGGGTAGTTCACAAGATCATATAAGATCCAGGTTCTGGTGAATTGTTGAGTTTATCACATTTACCTACATGCATGTTGCTGTTCAAGCACAAAAAGAGGTACATGGATGGTGTGGGTATGGTGTGCTTCTTGCATCTTCTTGCAGAGTTTCATTCCGTAGGATTCCGCCTAAATCTTCATGTTTCATTGAACTGGGTCCTAAAGTTGTTGAAGTTTCTCTGGAAACTAAGGGATCTGGGGTTCCCTGAAAGAATTGAGGCTACATGCACTACACCCAAACTCGACACGTGACGCTAATCATGACCAGTCTACATGATCTACATGTGGTACGCAGGACTTCGATTTTGACCACGGTGATGATTGGTTAAATCCTCAATTTGCAATGGTTGGATTGACCTTTTCGAGCTTCAATCAGAATTTCCATCAAAGTTCTTTCAGTTTTCTGGTCAAATGTTAATAAAACCATCAGTTTTTCCGTGGTTTTTCCATTTGATCCACTTCCCAAAAGATGAACGTCGCGACCCAGGACATGGGTTTGATGGCGGATGGGGCTTTCACGGCCTTGGGGCCAAAGAAGACCGAGGCGACTATCATTTGGCCATCCAACATCTATGGTAACCAGTGGTTGCTACGGGTGGTTGATGTTGGTTGACGGAAATGGGGTCCCATACATGTGTTTCCCAAAGGACACCGTCGTTTTCAGCTGTGTGGTCAAGTTGTGTCTTGTATATATATAATATACAATATACATTGTTATATATATATATATAATGCACACCCAATTTTCTTCCATATTCCGAAAGCGTTCAGGGGTTGCAATACCCAAGAAATCAGGAAGGAAAGGAACAAAATGGGGCAATGATCTTTCGCTACAGTTGTGGAGTCATGCCCAGGCAGCTTTGAAGCGAATGTACATCATGCTCAAGGACGGGGTCGGCCCCCTTGAAGAAGTGGTGCAACTATTGGTATAGGCTGTTTTTGGGGGACTTGATGGTGGAGAGGGTTTTGGATCTCTACATCGACATCATGACCATCTGAACCTCCGAACACAGATGCTCCGTACCCTCTTGGAATCAAACATGGCTAGCTGGAAAATCCTCAATTTGTAGAGGATATGCACATTTATAAATTCACAGTATTTTATATAGATTATGTTCCCTTTTCAGTGCTCTTTTAGTTCGGGGATTTTCCAGCTAGCCATGTTTGATTACCAGCGGGTCTGCAGCATATCGATGACACTCGAGAGCTGCGAACGAGAACTCGGGACGATTCTACATTGTCGCGAACGAGCAGGATGAGAAGGCAACTTCCAACGACTTAGGGAAAGCTTGGATGTGTAGTTTTCATGATTTAATGTTGTGGTACAGCGATCAAGTACGTTTTTGTTTGCACCACTCAGATAGACCATAATGTCTAAACCTTGAAACAAATTGCGTTTGATTTGCACAGAAGCAATTTGGATTTTGTTAGATCAGTTACATCCTTCCCAGACATTTTACATGTTTACGTTTCTCTTCCGACACAAATCAGAGATTTCGCAAAGCATGCTGTGACATCCAATGACACAGCGCCATAGTCCGCTTTATAGCGCCCGCTTTGAACCGCGCCGCATCGCGCAGATGGCTCTGCGCGGTCAGCTGGACATCGGCTTTGAACCAGAGGTCTTGCTGAAATTGGGCTGGCAGGCACCTGATCACCTGGAATTCCGTGGGAAACTGGCAATCGAAGCCATGCAGAAACAAATTGGCCATGGAAATATATGGAAATCATACGGAAATAATCATAGGTCTATATTAATATCATCAACTTTCATGGGATATTTGCCATGGTGAGGTGTTTTCCATTACCAAAGGCTATCTACTCAAAATGTGATCACATGCTCCTGCCATCAAAAGGCTGATGTTGGTATATCTGAGGCTTACTATATTTTTGGGGCTGATGTTTGTGGTAAGGAAATGGTTATGAGTCATGAGTTCTGAGTCATGATTAGTTAGTTATAGCTGGTTGGTGGTTTTAAACAAGCCACGGGCTCAATTCCTCCCAGGGGTGTGGCTGGCCTGGCTGAACATTGTGGTTTAGCCTTGCGGTGTTCGTGCCATGGCGCTGGTTATGGACCCTTCTGAGGTCAATACAGGTGGTTTCATCTCCTTGGTGCTGGAGGTGGTCTCCCTTGATCCAGGTCACGAACGACATTTGCTTGTTGACAGGGCTCACGATAAGCTGGTTCAGTTTTCTGGTCTGGTGGAAGGTGGACACAAGATCATCACGGTGATCGATGCTGTGTTGATTCGCCAATTTCCCATGGTTTGTCTGGAGTGCGGTGAGAAGACAAAGGTCCTTCACCACGGAATTCCTACCTGGTCTGACTATTTCAAGATGATTGATGCATGCAGTGGCTTGGGAGGTATCTCACATGGAGCTTTGGCTGTTGGGATCGTCCCCACAGTTGCGACTGATGTCAATGCTTGTATGTCCGAACTACACAAGGTCCATGTTTGCAGTGATCATGTTACAGGAGACATCGGTGATCCTCAGGTTGTGGCTGAGGTGTGGAGTCGGAGTTCGAGCGCCGCCTTGATGTGTGCAGGGTTTTCATGCCAACCATTCTCACAGTTGGGTGATCGTCGTGGGGGTTTGGACCCTCGTGCGCAAACTCTTCCGAAACTGCTCCGAGCTGCCCACTTGATGCAAATCAAAGTGCTTGTCCTGGAATGCGTTGTGCCTGCCCGATCTGACCCATTTGTGAAACAACAGCTTGATAGCTTTGCATCTCTCATGGGCTTCACCACTGAGACTGTCAACTTGGACCTTCAAACCGTTTGGCCATGTCGGCGTCATAGAACTTGGTGGCTCATGTTCGACTCAAGCTTGGGAAAGATGGGTCTCTCAGAATGGCCAGTTCTGGATAGCCTTCCCAAAGTTCAGTGTCTGATTCCTTACATTTGCAAATGGGATCCCAGAGATGAGATGGCATTGAGTTTAGACTCAAGTGAGAAACAAGCCTTTGGTGTTGACGATGGTTCATATCCGCATTATCTCCTTGATGCTGCAGGTGTTGCCCCCACTGCTTTGCATGCCTGGGGATCTCAATTGCGAGGGTGCCCATGTGGATGCCGTGATTTTGGATTGTCCCCCACTCGTCTTAGGGAAAAAGGCCTTTTCGGCTTGTTGGTCTCCAGTGCCTCCGAAGCCATTTCTGACCAGCCTGTGCGTCATGTGCATCCCTCTGAAGCCTTGGCTCTCAATGGGATGGATTGTACCATTGACCTGGGTCTTAATGTTCGTTTGTCTTTGTCTGGAGTCGGTCAGATCGCCAGTCCGCTGCAAGCTGCCTGGGTTCTTAGTTTTGTCACAGCTAGGATCACCATGTTGCAAAAAGGGTCTAGTGATTTTGACTCAGTTTCTCAATTGCAGGCGTTCCGATCCTGGTTGGTGATGAAGTGTCAGGAAACATGGCCATGTAACCAGGAAGTCATACAGGACAAGCAGCTGCTTGGTCTAGTGCGTTTCTGGAAGGACATTCGTTCCTTGTCCCTTGAGCAAGTCGTTCATGCACCCCAATGGCCTGAGGTTTCTGATTTTCGCATGTCTGTTGCCTGTGCCTTGGATGTGCTGATCCGTCGAACACAGGGGTCAGTTTCTGCCGTGCCTAGTGAAGAACCTGAAACACCATGGTTTGACAATCCAGTGCTTGGAGTGTGTTGTGACCTCACCCTACAGGTTGGTTCCAATGAGATTCAATTGAGTGACAGATACGGTGATTTCCTGCGGTTCCGGTTTCAACCAGGGACCACTATTGCTGACGTTCTTGGTGCGCATGCCAAACTGACAGGTGATTTGACTGTTCAACTGGCCAATGATGCTCTTGGTAGAGTCCTGTCTCTCGATCATGCCATCCTTCCTGGACAGTGTATTCAGATCTTCCTCTCTGGATGTGAACAAGGTTCCTTTTTCCCATTTGAGGTGTTTACCTGTGAGAATGCACATGTATCAGGCTTGTTTCCGGCTCGAGATGAAGCGCATGTTGAGGAGCCTGTTGACTTTCCCATGGAGGAAGATTGCACTCCTAATGCTAAGCCTGATTCCAGTAGTGTTGATGCATGCCCGATCTCCCCCACTATCACTTGGGAAGCCAAAGTTGATGAGTGTGACGTGGTTGGATCCTTTGTTGGAGTCTCTAGTACTCTGCCATATACGCCGACTGGTGGGTTGGTTTCAGCGTTGTTGCCACTGTCTGAGAAGCAATTTCTTCGCTTGGCGGTTCCCATCATTGACGATGTTCACAAATTCACAGCCCTCCGACAGCAATTCATACGAGCAGTTGACCGTCTTGCTTTGTTGGAAGTTCAGGGGAACATTTGGTCTGATGATGAAATTGCCTATCATCTTGCAATGCTTACCTCCACAGCTCCGGTTGGGGGACCTTATTGCAATGTGGTCGTCTTGGACCCACTCCTGGCTACTGCTTGGGTTGAAGATCGGGCATTCCCCATTGGCACTTGGGCTTGTTCCCATTCCATGATTAAGTCAGAAGGTGTTCAAGTCGTTGGTGTCTGTAGGGTTCTCACGCATTGGGTCCCTTTTCAATTTGTCCCTTGCAATGACCATGTCAATGTCTTTACTTGGGATGCTCCGCAGAATGATCACTCTTGCCTGAACGTTGTCTTGGAGAAGATTGGAAAGTGTCTTGGGTTCTCATCTGTGTTGGTGTCTCGACAACAAAGACTTGTGCCCACTTCTGACCGGTGTGGAGCGTTGGCCATCAATTTTCTGCACAGTGCCATTTTTCAATCACAACTCGTGACATCCGCTGATGAGGCTGAAGCAATGCACATCCAGCTGAGACATAAGTTCGTAACCCTTTTGTCCAAAACTGAATTTGTCATTCGGCCGTGGATCTGGGGCACAGGGGACATTGAACAGGAGGTTTCTGCCGACAATGAGTCATCTCATGGTGATCCTGACCTTAGAGCTTCTGCTGGTTGTGGTGACATTGGCCATGCCTCACCTGGAATCAGTGGTAGAGTATATGAAGTCTTCTCTCCCCAGTCTGATCCGTCCCTTGTTGAGGATGAGAGCTTGAGTGAAAGCAGTGCCTCTGCTGATGAGTGTGGTGTCTCGAGCCATGCTCATGCCAATCACATTTTTGGAGTATCCAGATCTCGGTCCAGGTCACCTCCTGCCCATTGCCTGCCTGCGGTTGATTCGCATTGTGCTGCCGTGCCTGCTCCCGATGCAGACGGCCCTTGTGGGGAATCCGGGCCACTCCCTTTAATGCCCGATGAACCTGTTCGCTTGCCAAGGTATATCAAGTACCCGGCGTTGGTTAACCATGAATTTGTCCCAGTACTGTTTGTGCTCAATCATGCCGTTGACAACAATCCAAGAAGTGCCTGTGGTCTGTTTGACTTGGGGGCCTATAGTCGCGAATTGTGGGTCAGAATTGAATGGGATGTTGCTGAGCTGCTTGCCCTGAGCTCTCTACAAATGCTCGCATTTCCATGCCCATCCATTGAAAACCCCACCAGGCTTTGGTCTATGCGCAATCTTGTCATGCATCTTAGGGATCGACTTACCTTACTTCGACATCAACAAGGTGTTGTTGCTGATGATGAAATCCGATTTCATTTGCACGCAATTGTCTCTGAATACGAGGGTGGTGTGGATTTCTCGCCCATGCGAGTGATTGTTCTTGATCCCATCGTCTCCCATGCTTGGTTGGATGCTAACTCTTTCGACTGTACAGAGTGGGCTGCCACCCATCCTGAAGTCTTGCGAGACGGTCTGCAAATCATGGGGGTGTTTCGTGTTGACCAACATTGGGTACCTATTCTCATGATTCCATGTGGTGAAAACATTCGCATTGCTTCCTTTGATGCTACACCTGACCTTGCTCAAAGCATCGCCGCCTGTCTCACTCGTGTGACTCATGCTCTTGGGTTCACTGAAATTTTCATTGATCACATTCATCGCACTTTCGCTGCCAAGAGTGTTTGTGGAGCCGTTGCCATTAACTTCTTGCGGAGTCAACTGACTGGCTGTCCGAGACTTTGTTCGACTGCTTCCGCATGGGAAGAACATCATTTCTTGCGGAGGAAGTTCATGCAACACATTGGACGCAAAGCTGAGATTCCTCGACCTTGGCTCTGGGGCTCTGGTGATGTTGACTCTGAGGGTTCTGAGGATGGTGTTGTTCCTCATAATGACTCTCTCCAGGGAGGTTCAGCTGGTAGTTCGGAGGTTGGCCATGTGCTGCAAGGAACCGTTGGTCGTGTGTTTGACGTTTTCTCTCCACAGTCTGACCCTTCCCTCCAGGAGGGATCATGTCCTGATGAAAGTGATGCCGTCGTTTCTGACAATGAGGGACCAGCACGTACTGTCGTCGTACATGAGGGTGGCCTACTGAGATCCAGATCCAGATCACCTCTTCGTCCTTTGCCAGGGGGTAGTCGGAGTGCACCTGGCACCGTGCCTGCTCCTGATGCGGACAGTCCTGACAGGGAATCCGGGCCACTCCCTATAATGCCCGTTGGACATGGCCTCTTGCAGGGTGGCCCCGAACATCCAGATGTGATTAATCATTTTGTTGCTCCTTTGCAGTTTGGGGGTGACCCTAATGATGCGAACCATCCGCGGAGTGTTCGAGGACTTTTTGATGTTGGAGCCTACAGTCGTGAAGGATGGGCAAGTATTGAATGGGATGTTGTTGATCTCTTAGCGATGAGTTCCCAGCAGATGCTTGCTTTTCAATGCCCTTCCATTGAAAACCCCACCAAGCTCTGGTCCATGCGTAACCAATTCATGCAATCCAGAGATAGATTGACTCTGTTGAGACACCAACAAGGTGTTGTTGCTGATGATGAGATTCGTTTTCATTTGCACTCCATTGCCGCTGAATGTGAAAGTGGTGTGGAATTTCCACCAAAGCGCATTGTGATCCTCGATCCTGTTATCTCACATGCATGGCTTGACATGGACTCGTTTGACTGCACGGACTGGGCTGCCACTCACCCTGAAATCCTTCAGGATGGCCTGCAAATTGTGGGTGCGGTTTGCTTTGATCAGCATTGGATCTCAATTCTCTTGACTCCGTGGGGGGACAATATTCGGATTGCATCCTTTGATTCTACCTCCGACCTTGCCCATTGTCTTGCAGCCTGCTTGACTAGGGTTGCTCATGCCCTTGGATTCACTGAGATCCACTTTGATCACATTCATCGTACATTTGCTGTCAGAAGCGTTTGTGGCGCCGTTGCGATCAATTTCTTGCGTAGTCAAGTGACAGGTTTTCCCAGGCTTGGTACAACTTTCTCTGCATGGGAGGAGCACCATGTCTTGAGGAGGAAATTCATGCAACACATTGGCCAAAAGGCGGAAGTCCCCCGGCCCTGGCTCTGGGGTGCTGGCAGTCGTGATGATGGTGATGGTCCTCCTGGTGAGGTTCCTGCTGAAGCCTTGCATGACTCCGCAGCTCCGGTCTCTTTTCCTGTGGGTTTTTCCGGAGTTTGTGTTGATGCCTCTCACCTATGTGCGATGCACGGACAGCAACTTAGTGCGCTTGAATGTCCTCCGGTGTCTGACATCCACCAAATGAGTAACCTCAGACTGCAATTGATTGAGACCCGCTCCCGTCAACGCATTTTACAAGCTCAATTTGGTCTGTGGGCCGATGATGAAATTCGATTTCACATGCATGCCATTGCGGCTGTCTGCCAGACATTGCAACATGGTCAGATGATTTCGCAGGTTTCTGTGCTTGACCCCTTGATTGCTTCCTCGTGGTTGGTCCCCAGCTCACTCCCGAGTGATCAATGGGCCAGTATGTACAGGAATGTTCACCGTGATCAGAAAATCTTGATTTCTGCAGTTCGCATTGATGGCCATTGGATTCCGCTTGTTTTGTTTCCTGCTGGCAATATCCTTTCGGTCCAATCCAGTGATTTTACTGATGGTCTTCCTGCGGCACTTATCAATTGCCTGGTTTCCTTTGCCCATGCCATTGGATTTGAGAGCCTCCGCTTTGATCATGAGGTTCGCCCCTTTTCATGCAGATCAGCTTGTGGTGCTGCAGCCGTCAAGTATGTTGCCTACAGGTTGGGTTTGTCTGGAAGGGCTCTATCTTATGCTGCTGTGTGGCAAGCACATTCGGAGCTGCGATCACAATTTGTCCGTGCACTTTCTGATGAGCATTTGACAAGCCGTCCATGGATTTGGGCTTCTGGTGATGATGAAGCTTCTGAAACATCATGGAGGTCTGAAGACCCTGTGGAAGATGTCTCTGACCTTCCTGATTCTTCTGCCAGGGGAGTTCCCTCCACTGCACCTTTCGTTCTCCCTGATGGCGCTGCTTGCATGGCTTCTCATGTCTGCATTGATGTCAATGAACGGATTGATCTGTTTGCAACCCATGGTAAAGCCTTGGGTGACGATGAAATCCGGTTTCACCTGCAAGACCTTGTTCAGAGACGAGCTTCTATGCCTGCCAGCTCGGACAGACACATGCCATGTGTGTTGGCCTTTGAAGCGTTGAATTTCCTCAACTGGGATCAGGTGGGTCATATTCTCACTGAAAAGTGGTGTCAAAACTGCCCTCAGGTTCGGTCACATGGACACCAAATTGTGGCTGTTGTCCTAGAGGGAACTCATTGGATTCCCCTTTGGGTTGTTCCTGCTGGCTTAGTTTTGGTCTTCCATACCTTTGATGACATTCTGGACTACGACATTTTTGACGGCAAACTGCGTTGGATGGGCCTACATTTGGGCTTCTCTGATGTGGTCATTCATCGAGTCCCTCATGGCCTTCCCTCACATGACTTCTGTGGAGTTCATGCCTTGGCTTTCCTTGAACACATCTTGTTGGGGACTGACTTGCCAACTGAAGTGTCTACACTTGACATGATGTCCACCAATCTGCGTGCTGCATTTGTGCAGGCCATGTATGAAAAGCGTATGTGCATTTGCCCAATTGTGTGGGGAAATGGTGGTACCGGATCGCTAACCAAGCTTTTGGCTGAGGAATTGTCTCTCCATGGGGTTCCCTCTGACCTTGCCGAAACCCGGGCTGCTCAGGCCATCAAAATTGTTGGGAATGAGCCGCTTGCCAAGGCCATGCAGCAGAATAAGCCTTGGCGTCAGTTGAAAGCATTGGCCACAAACGTTGGCTTCAAGTTGGTTTTGCCTGCTGAATTGGAAGCCACCATCTCTCACAATCGAGGTAAGCCTGTTGGTAAGAAGTCCCACAAAGACAAGAAAGTCCCTGGTGTTCCTCCGCCGATTGACCTGGATCCATCCAAACTCTGTGTCCTTGATGGTACGTTTAGGGCTGCTCTTCAACCTTTGCCACAGCTGTCTCCACAACAGATCGGCCCTATCAGCTCCGGGATTGTTTTGATGACAGCACAAGAGGCTGAGCCTTACCTGCGTGCAGGCCAGATCGTGTCTCAGGAGCCATTGGCACTTGTGGTGTTCCATCGGTCTGATCAGGTGCTTCAATCGATGCTGCCTCAATCCAAGGTTACTGTTCCATGCCGCTGTACAGTTGACAACGAACCAGTTTTGGCTGAGGCAACTCTTGTTCAACTTGGGACAGGGGTTGTAGAGAAGTTTGCAGGGTCGAACTTGGTTGCATTGGAGTCCCCTGATGTTTGTACCTTGCGTATCAATGTTTACAAAGATGAGACTGAGGACTGGGAAGCATTTGTGAAAGCGCCTGTCAAGAGGCTTGTTTCCCTTTTCCCTGAGCTGCGCAGGTGCACCATCCAAGGGTGCAATTGCAGCTCTTGGCACAATGAAGAGGGTCTGCCCATCAAGGAACCTATCCTGGACCTATGGAAGAGGCAGTTCATGAAATTTGGGTACAAACCTGCGGAGGCATCTAAAGCTGACATGTTTTGTGTCTCTATTCGTGTTCCTGTCTGCCTGTTGGAACGGATTTTGAATCGGAGTGGTGTCGCAGGTGCTTACGTTGAGCCCAGGTCAGCTGATGGTCAAAAAGTGTTGCAGGACTACATGGTGATCTGGATTTCCCGGATGTCCCACCGTGAGCTCATGCATATGAAGCAAACCAACCCCGCAGTTGTCGGCCTTGCGCGTATCGCAGACAGAAGGGGCCTCAGGGTCTCCTCTGACCAAGCACAGGAAGTGCATAGGGTTGTTCGTCCTGATACCCTCTTTCTGCCACAAGGAGCTCGTGTGACTTACATCGTTGGGCCTTTTCCCTTTGGCATCGACAGGCAGGGGATCTGCAAGGCTATGAAGCAGGCCAATTGGCATTGTAAACCTTTGCAGCCAGCTGCCCCTCAGCCTGGACGTGGAGCTATGTGGGTCGTTCAAGCAGTTGAGGAGCCTCCAAGTGCGATTGTACACACTAGCCATGGTGAGATCTTGATCTCCAAGCAAAAGTTGGCTGATGGAGGTGACCGTCAAGTGGGAGGCAAACCCATTGCTGCCCCTGCCACGTTGGCTCTGTGTGGTGGGCAAGGTGGACGAGATGAAGATCCCTGGACCCAGCATGACCCATGGCAGAAGTTTCAACCTTCGACCGGTGGAGCGTCTGTCTCCACAGCTCCGACCGATAGCATGCAGCAGATGGAATCCCGTATTCAGGCTGCTGTACTTGCCAAGCTGCCCACTGGAACCTCCCAGTCTGTGCCCATGGAGCAGGATGATGTTCCGGATCGTATCTGTGCGCTTGAATGTCAGGTTCAGCAACTCATTCAGAAGCAAACACAGATGGATGGCCAGTTTGTTGAGTTCACGACCCAGCAGAACCAGCAGGTTTCGAATTTGCAGGTCCAATTGCAGACTCAAACCCAACAGCTTCATGGCCAGATTGAATCCCAGAATCAGAGTATTCAAGCAATGTTCGAAAATCAACTCTCTCACATTCGAGGGTTGTTATCGAAGAGACCTCGTGATGAATGTGAATGATGGGGGGGGCAGGAGCCACTTTGCCTGGACCCTACTCGGGGTTGTTCCGTGGTTGCTCACCTTTGTCTGGTGGCTCTGGTGCCCATGGCATTTTTCATTTTGGGGATCGCATCATTGATGAGGTTTGCCAAGTTTGCTCGCCCACCGTGGCTTGCCGTGGTTTTTGTATTCCTCTCTGTGGTTAGGGTGGGAGAAGCATCTCATCCCGGCCCATCCGATGCTCATTTCATTTTGGGGGTTGCCAATCCGACCGGGTTGCGATGCAAATCTATGTATGTCACTGAACACATGGCTCATGGGGATTTGTGGGCCTTCAGTGAGACACATCTTAGTTCCCGTGAACTGCATACTTTTAATGCAGGATTGAAGTTTGCTCATTCGCCTTTTGCTCCCCTGCTTGGGGGTTTTCCTGTTCCGCCCTCTAGGGATAATGCTGGGTCATGGAAGGGAGTCGGAGTTCTTTCCAAGACACCTGTACGTCATATTCCCAAGAATTGGCCTGACGCTATCCAGTGTTCGTCCCGTGCAATGGCCTACACTACCTTGATCGATGATGTGTGGTTAACTGGGGCAGTGGTTTATGGTGAGCCTGACAGCCAGCACTACCCCTACAGGTTGCAGCATAATGAGTCTTTGTTGCAGTCGGCTATTGAATCAGTGGGTTTTCTTTCCTCTGGACCGCGGGTGATCGCAGGGGATTGGAACGTGTCCATGGGTGAGATTCCTGCATTTGATACCCTTTCCCAGTTGGGTTTCAAAGATTTGCAAGAGCTTGCTGCCGAAAGGTGGGGCATTCCACCACGCCCCACTTGCAAAAGTAAGACAAGGAAGGATTTCTGCTTCATAAGCCCGGAATTACAAGAAGTGTTGGTTGATGTCTCTGTTTTGGACGATGTTTGGCCCGATCATTCCATCCTTCAGGGCAAGTTTCAACGCTTCCGTGAGTGCATTCCTAGGCAGATTTGGAAGAACCCTTGTGAATTTCCTTGGCCTGCGCAGTGGTATGTTGATCCCAATCTTTGGACTCAGATGGACGCCCATCCAGATGAGAAATATCGAGTGTTCTGGAAGGCGGTTGAAGATGCTGCTCAGCGTGAGTTGCCTTTTCCAGTGCCTAAGCGGTCCTGTGGTCGTGCTAACACAGTTTCCACTTCACCTGCTAAGGTTGGTGCTCACCCACATGTTAGGGTTGGACGGAAAGGTGACTTTCAGCCTCAGTTCCATGGAAGTTCCCTTCGCCATGCTCATTGGGTTCGTCAGGTGCGGAGACTTCAAGCTTTTGTCCGTAGTTGCTCTGCCGATGGTTCCCATAGCCATTATGCAGTTTCGGTATGGGCTGCAATTGTTCGTGCCAAGGGTTTCACTGGTGGATTTGTTCAGTGGTGGTCTAGATGTCCGCATCGAGTGCATGGTGCTCCTTTGCAAATTCCTTGGGTTCCGCCTTCTGGGGTGATTGCTACTCGGATCTTTGAGACTTTGGCTTTGCAGGTCCGGTCTTTGGAGTCCCAACTCATCAGTACGTCCCGCCAGTATGCGCGGTTGCGTAGGGCTCGCAATCCTCGGTTAATTTTTCAAGACCTTCGCCCAATGCAAAGTAGTGGTGTGGATTACCTTATCCGCCCTATTCAGTCCAGCATTGTTTCAGTTGATGAGTCCGATCAATCTATTGTTGTGGAGCCTCCGCATGGGTGGTCACATGACCGACCAATTGTTTGCCAGGGATTGCCTTTGTCTCTGATTCATGTGGAACCTGACTGCATTTGGCTTGAAGACTCCTCTGCACTCAAGCCTGGGGATGTGATTTCTCAGGTTCAGTGTAGTGGGACTCAGACTGACTTGGAAAAGATGTTTGTTGATGAATGGAAAGCTCGATGGGAACGGCATAAAGATGTTCCTGATAGCCGGTGGGCTACAATCTTGGATTTTGCCCGTCAAGCCTTGCCACGTCTTCAGTTCAGTTGGCCTGCAATCTCACCTGATGTCTTGTCTCAGTTGATTGCATCTAAAAAGTCGAGCTCTGCCTGTGTTCTGGATGGAGTGTCTATCGCAGATCTTAAATGTTTGCCACGCAGTGCCATTGAGAATGTCTGCTCTATGTATCGTGAAGCCGAAGATACAGGGGTTTGGCCATCACAACTTTTAATGGGGCGTGTTGCTTGTCTTGCCAAAACTGATGAACCCCGTACGGTGTTGGACTACCGCCCTATCACGGTCCTTGGCATGCTGTATCGTGTGTGGGGTTCGTATCATGCCAGAAGAGCGATTCGCGCCCTTGATGCACATTTGCCTGATTCCCTTTATGGGAGCAGACCAGCCCGATTTGCAGGTCAAGTTTGGAGCCAGTTGCTCTGGGCAGTCGAAGATGCTACCATTCATGGTATTGCCTTGTCTGGTTTGATGGCTGACTTGCAGAAAGCTTTCAACCATTTGCCGAGGCTAGTTGTATTTGAAGCTGCTGCATTGTTGGGCATTCCTATGTCTCTGTTGACTGCTTGGGCTGGTGCCTTGACCTTGATCAGTAGGCGGTTTCAGCTTGGCCAGGGTTTAACCAAACCTGTGTTTAGTACCACCGGATTACCTGAAGGTGATGGCCTGTCCTGCCTTGGGATGGTGATCATTGACGTTTTGTTTCATCTTTGGCACCAGCATTTCTTTCCTATGTGTCAGCCTGTCTCCTATGTGGACGATTGGACGATTTTGATCACAGATCCATCCTTGATGACCGGAGTTTTTGCCTGCCTTTCAAGCTTTACTGATGCGCTTGACCTCATGCTTGATTCCCAGAAGACTTTTGCTTGGTCCACCAGTGGTAAAGGTCGCAAAAGTTTGGTTGAACAAGGGTTTCGTGTTGCTACCAATTGCAAGCTGCTTGGTGCACATGTCCAAGTGTCACGCAAGCACACTAATGCTACCCAAACAGCTCGTGTTTCAACTCTTCAGCCTCTTTGGCCTAAGCTTAAATTGTCTGCAGCAGCGTACGAAGTGAAAGTCCAAGCCATTAGGGCAGCGGCATGGCCGAAAGGTCTTCATGCCATAGCGGCAACGACTGTTTCTCTCCAAACGTTTGCTTCTTTGAGAGCTGGCGCAATGAAGGGGTTGAACGCAGACGGCGCAGGCTGCAATGCTATGGTTCATTTGGGGTTATTGGAATCCCCTTTGACCGACCCGCACTTTTGGTCCATTTATCAGACCTTCAAAATGGTCAGGGAATGTGGCATCGAAGATGTTGTGCACCCCGCCCTTTTTGCTCTGGCAACTGGTGATGAAGCTTATGCAAACAATGGCATTACTGCTACAGTGTTGACACGGATTCAAACCTTTGGGTGGCATGTGTCCTCGCCACACTGCCTTTCGGATGACTTTGGGCCCTTCAATCTTTTCTCCATTTGTATTGCTGAGCTTCGTTGGCGCATGGAGTGGGCATGGCTCAAAGTCGTTGCTGCTTGTGTTGCTCACCGTCCAGGGTTTTCGGGTCTCTGGCAAATTGATCCTGCCCGCACTCGTGCATGGCTGTCCAAATTGAACTGTTCAGATCGGGCAGCCTACCGTAAAATTCTCAATGGTGCTCATGTGACACAGGATGGGAAGCATTATTGCCAGGAAGCGGATTCAGATGTCTGCCAGTTTTGTGATTGTTCCGACTCTCGGTTCCACCGCTTTTGGGGCTGTAGCGTTTTTGAGGAGTGCCGTCAGGGTATTGATTCGGACCTCATGGTTGCTATTCCTGATTTGCCAGAGAGTGTGACTTGTTATGGTTGGGCCCTTCGACCTTCAACATTTCATTCGTGGTTCTCCTATTTTCTGCAACTGGTCCCTCCCGTGATACCTGCGATACCTTGGCATTCTCAGTCTCAGTTCCATATTTTCACAGATGGTAGCTGCTGTCATCCGCAATACCCTGATTTGAGGTTTGCTTCCTATGCCTTGATTCTTGTTGAATCGAGTGCTACTGAACATGCGTGTATTCTTGAGAGTGGTCCATTACCAGGTCTTCGTCAGACCTCACTGCGTGCTGAGCTCTTTGCAGTCCATCGAGCTATCAAGTTTGCTGCATGTCACGGAGTTAGTCTGATGATTTGGTCTGACTGTTTGAATGTTGTGCGCAGGTTGCGACGTATTTGTCTTGGTGCCCCGGTAAAGATCAATTCTTCCAATGCAGACTTGTGGAGTTTGATTGCCGATGACATTCATGGAGGTGGGTGCCATGTGCAGGTCACGAAAGTTGCCGCCCATCAGTCTCTTGCTGCTGCTGCATCACCTTTAGAAGAATGGTGTTTCAAACACAACAGGTTTGCTGACAGGGCAGCGGCCTCTGCCAATCAACGCAGATCCAAGGAGTTTTGGAACCTGCTTGCAGTGCACTCCCGCGCGTGTCAGACATGTGACAGGTGGAATGCGTCAATCCAGAATGTTTTGCTGCAAGTGAGTCGTAATGTATTACATGAAGGGCGCGATATGCCCCTGGATGTTCCAATGCCTGAGCCACCTCCTGCTCCTTCCTGGACTCCCCTGCCCACTGACCCTGTGATGCCACATGGTGCTATTCGGTGGTATGGCGAAGCTGTTGTGGCTAAAATGACAATTTGGTTTTGGAAGGCCGTTTCCGATGATCCAGGGCCTGTGCAATGGATTTCGAATGCTCAGTTGTACATTGACTATGGACTTCAGACTGGAGACTCTGGCCCAGTTCACATTGATGGATGGAAGGACAGCCAGGATGTGCCCTTGCACGCTCTCCGGCCTATTGGCTTTAAGGAGAGGGTAAGGTGGTTTGGTAAAGTGCTGAGGGAGATTTTGCGACATGGGGGTTTGCCGTTCTCTGCCCAGTACTGCCGGCCTAGTAGCCTTATGCTGTGTATGCACTCCAGCTGCATTGCGGTTCCCTGGAACCCACAACGCCTTGAGCAAGTTGATCGATGGATGGCAAAGTTCTCATCCGTACCTTTTCGCCGGCAGACAAGGGAACTGGACCGCTTGCCACTGCCAAGCGCTTCTATGGTTTCGTAGTTCTGCAGTCAAAGGGCTGCCTTCGTCTGACTAAGGCAGCGCGTGTGCCAAACGTGGACAAACGTGGTGGTTTTAAACATTTTTTATTTTCCATAATATGAGGGATAATCCTTCCCATTGACTAATATTTTTCAGAGGGGCTCAAACCACCAACCAGATAGGGATATTGCTTCCCCAAGTCTCATTATGCCATTGTCTGTCAGATCCGAGCGTCGAAGAGAGACCATGGCCTTGTGGTGGGGCCCTTGAGCACAGCACCAAATGACTGGCCTGCAGTGTGAGAGTGCCAATAAAAACAGAGTTGTAGTCCCTTCCCACTTATATAAAAACGCACCCTCAATGGTCCCAACTAAGTGTAAATCCCCTACTAAACCATGGTTTCTGCGGGGGTTTCGAATATTAGGGGGGAGGGATAAACATGTTCTTATAATCATTGTGCCTGCAATTGAACTTATTGTTCTTCCAGTCGCTGGAGGCAAAACGGTTTTGAATGCGTACAACTGGAGAATTTCACCCTGTAACCTGGCCTCTAACATTCTCCAGCCACTTGAGCAGTGCCCCTACTGTACCCTGTTGTTGGTTGATGCTGATTTAGCCAAATTCAGCCACAAAACGTGGTAATTTGAACAGAAACTGACGATGTTTGCCACAATTTGATTTCAACTAGAAAAAATGATTATGTCTTATATAATTTAGCTTTTATTGCATGATAAAATTATATACGTATATATATATAATATTTATAATACATATATATATATATGTATTCATCATGAACCATGTTGGAATCACTTTTTTTTCAGTGTTTCCTTCTCAGGTGGCCTATCTGACAAAGCGTCGGCGCGCGAAACCTGCCGCCAAAGCGAAGAAATCTTTTGATTGAAGTCTCTGAAGGTGGGCGGGGTAGGGAGTTAATTCCAGATTTGTAGCATATCTGTACAATGTTACATCGACAATAGTAAAGGGGAGGCCCCCCCCTATTTTTTCTTTAGGGGGGGTCTGCTTTGCAATAGTAAATCGAAAATCCCAACTCTTCCCCAAGGCTTTTGAAAGGTTTTGACAGATCCAATGCAATCACAATTAAAAACCATTCAACCACAATTAAAAACACTAAGGAAGAAGGGGAAAAAATACAGCTAGAGCCAGAAAGTTTGTTTTTTATTGTAAGTGCTAATTCCAATTTTTAATTGCAAATACAAGGACCTGCAAGGGGGTACCCTTTGTGGACCTGTTTTTTGCATTTTTTTAAAGGAATTTAATAAAGGAAACAGTTTTTTTGAACAAGGTAAAGTTTATGATTTGGTCAAGGTGTGTTTTGTTTTTGCTTTTGAAAAGCATGCAATCACAATGAAACAACCATTTAACCACAATTAAAAACACTAAGGAAGAAGGGGAAAAAATCCAGCTAGAGCCAGAGAGGTTGTTTTTTATTGCAAGTGTTAATTCCAATTTTTAATTGCAAATGCAAGGACTTGCAAGGGGGTACCCTTTGTGGACCTGTTTTTTGCATTTGTTTATTAAAAGGATTTTAATAAATAAAACAGTTTTTTTGAACAAGGTAAAATCTTTGATTTGGTAAAGGTTTGCGTTGTTTTTGCTTTTGAAAAGCATACAATCACAATTAAAAGCCATTCACTAAATATCAATTAGCCCTTTGACAATTTAGTATTGGAAAATCTGATAATTTGGGAATTTTCTGAAAATTATTTGCAGCTATTGGGAATGCAGCACAATTATTGCAGATGCTCTGATATCTGTAATTTCAAAATTTATAAGGCCTAATTTTAAATCAATAGGGGCTGAAAAATCGGATTGTGAAAAATAATTGTAGCTATTGCACGCGCTTTACTATTGCCAATCCAACATTAATTGTACAGTATGTATATATATATATATGTATGTATACAGTGCATAAAGAATGATATGATATATTTATATATTATTTTGGTATACAGTTACTCAGTTGATTCATGATTGATTGACTTATGTTTCTTTGTCCTCATTATATAGATATTTTAACTGTGTCCATGATGGTCTATCTATCGGCATCTACTAGACGTGTAGATGTGAAACCAGGATGTTTTTGTACTTCAGAAAAAGGCACACAGAAATGGTTTCACATATCCCGGATCATGGATGCATTGTATGTTTTACCAACAAATTGGGGTAAACTACCCATTGTTGGTTTCGTTGGTCTTGTTGCGGGTCTAGTTGATAATTCACCCTAATCAATAAGTTGGTTACAACCCCAGTTATATCTGCACTAGCCCTACTTACCCTACTGAATGAACTGAGGTGAACTAACCCACTTACTACCTGGGGTGAACCACCAAGTAGGTGCACAAAATTGGTATGTTGCTAATTCAAAAAGAAAAGGGTCCGGTGGCAAACCGGAGTCGGCTCTTGGCAGGTCAGCGTGTGAGTTGACCGACATTGGCAAGTTTTCGGTTGCGTTGCTGTGGAAAATGATGAATGTCGGTTGCGTTGCAAATCTCTGGTTGCCGCATACTGTAACTTGTCGGATGATGAAAACCAGGATGATATAGAGCGGGAACAAGAAGACATGATTGAGATGGGACCGCTGGTTTGAGTTTGCCATCCTCATTTGGCATGATTAAGTCCTAACTCAAACAACTAGAAGCACTAGTGTTCTAGGATTGGTTCAAGACATCAAACGGTGGTGCGAAAAAAAACAAGTCACCTAGGCACCTTTGTGGAAGCCAGTTTCGGAGACGCAAAATGGATGTGTTGAAGGGCTGATACACATTTGGGGATGGATCAAAACCGATTAGTACGTTATTATTATTGTTATTATCATTATCATTACCATATTATCATTACCATATTTGGGGGAATAAACATCCATCAACCAGTATTTATATGTATGTACTCGTATTGGGTATCCGGGTTGGGTTCTGACAGCCATCCGACTATTGTAACCTCTCGAGATCACTGAGATCAGGACAAATTGTTGAGAGTAGGATTTCCAGTTGACGCACAATTCCCATCAGATTCCTCAAATATGGTCGTAATACTAGAATATATACCCTCTGGTAATTTAACATAGCTATTGAAAATCACAATTTTTAATGGGACAATTCACTATAAATGGTGATTTTCCATAGTTATGTTAAATTACCAGAGGGTAGTAGAACTCCATATCAGTAGCTATCAACCAATAGGGGTGCAAGAGCAGCAACCCGTGAACTATGATTGATAGTTGGATGGTCATGTATCGGATTCTCACATTCTAGATGATATACTGCTGTTTAGGTGCTTTATTAAGACCCCAAACTGATTTGATTTCTGCACTGAGCGGTGCTTGGCCTTTTGCTCTTTGAGAATCAGGGCACCTCCATCAAGTGGGTTTCGTATCATGTTTTTCTCACAGAAAACTGCTTGGTGTTTGAGCAATCGGTTTGATATGGTTTGATGACCAGAGGATAAAGAAAGTGACTTTTCTGTGATTCACGAGGGTTACGTGGAAATCATAAACTGGTGGATCCGAATCCCGCTGCTGTTTGGCACACTCAACACCTGCAGCTTTGAGCAAAGTAGATATGGCTCGCTCATGATCCAATTCCAGCAAGGGCGGAAATATGGACCTGAAGATATCTTAGAACATGATACAAGTATTTGGGATCTCGCATACAATGATTCCTAAAGGGTATAAGTAATTTATGTAACATACATCCTCAACAACACCTTCAACAACTCTTACAGTCCATCTGTCTCAGAGCTGTGCGCTATGAGCCATCGAAGAATTTGGCACATCAGTCTCACAATTTGCAAATTTGGTGCATTCATTGCCTAAGGATCTTAGAAACAGCTATGAGTCAGACTCTAAGTTGAAACGCCACTGCCCCACCAGTTGCAGCCAGGCTGGGAAAATGGATGGAACCAGCGGAAGATTTCACCAACCCTCCCCGGCAGCGCAAGGTGAAACGAGATGATGCCTTGAAGGTCTAGCCGCTAGCCGGGACTACAGGCCACTCTTGCTGACGTTTAATTAGTTTGCTTGGAAGAATTGCCACTAGACATAAGACATAAGGGGGTTCTGAATATAACATGTTCATTTATTTTCATATATTATTGTCCATTATTTTCCCTTCATCTGATTGATTCGGAAAACATGTTCTTTTGGAAGGATTTGCTTGGCAATTTGGGATGTGTTTGGATTGCCGAAGTGATGATCTGTCGCCCTCGTGGCAGGCCCAATTTTGTAGGACTTCCTTCATGCAGCTCTTCAAACTCTGTGGCAAGAGGAAGAAACTCCCAGTGCCTCGACGGAGCGGGGCACGAAGAGCTGTGCTGAGTGGGTTTCCTAAAATGAAGGACCCCATGGGACCCCCAAATCGTCCAAATTAGATCAAACCAGAGCGTTTAGGCAAAATCCATGGGTTTTAGGATATCCCGGATACGCTATGCCTCATTGTGGATTGTGGGAAAGACCCAACTGAGGTGCAAAATGCTACAGCCTCAACTCCTTTCCCTTCTCTTCTTGATGAGTTCGATTTTTCCACAAAGAACAATCAGTTTTAACCGGTCAGATCTTATCTTAGCATGTAAGGGTCTTCCTGGGGCCTCCTTACTAAGGAAGACACCAAAGAGCTGTGCAGGGAAGGTTTTGACCGAAGCTTGAGGACAACCAAACGGAAACGCTTGGAGGATCGTCCATCTCACATAGAAACTGGTTAGTAAGCCCAATTATCTACAATCTGTATATTGTATATAATTATATATATAAGATTATACATATCATATACAGTATATATATATATATTATATATATATATATGAAAACCTACTTAGGGGGCTCACAAACCAGAACTACCTAACCAGTTAAACACAAAAAACAAGTGGGATGAACATCAGAGACACCAAAGTAACGATGATATTCACGCAGATGGTGCCTTGCAGATGGACCTCAAAGCCATGTCTTTCTGCAAAACAAATACCCAAACAAACACTGTAATGGTGCGGTTCTGTGCCACGATGACCATCCTCTTTTCGCAGGAAGCAACGTGATGCTCGCGTGTTTGGAGAACCAAAAGCACAACTTTTTTGTAGTTGCCAGAACCGGAACCCTGGTTGTACCGTCTAGATACCCTCTGGTAAACTAACATAGCTATGGAAAGATCCACCCATTTTCAATGGGAAAATCCACTATTTCTATGGCCATTTTCAATAGCTATGTTAGTCATTACCAGAGGGTATGTCCTTATGCTAATTTTGAGACAAAAGCTGCCTGGTTGCTCAGCTCTCTAAATGAAGCCCGATCCAAAAATTTTCGAAAACTCATGGGATCCCATGGGATCGGGGCAAGCAACTTTGAGACAAAGCATGGTTTTGGTAAAAGGTATGAGATAAATGTTGCTTATTATATGTAATGTAGTTAATTATACTCGTATATATAATATCATACTGATTCGGTGACTCCGTCTCAATACCCTCTTCACAGAAGGATCCAAACTGATTGGGTCAAGGGACATCACAAAGGGATTGTACAGTTAGAGGGGTGCGGTAAGACATCAAAATGGGTGTCTAAGATCTCTAACATGCTATGCTTGAGAATCTCTTCCTCTGATCATATTGGACATCCTCCCAGTTAGCCGTGGTGGATGTAGGGGATGAAACCACAGTAGTCCAGTTTTTTGGACCATTTTTTTAGGATGTTTGGAAATGTTTGGAATATGATCCCAGTATTTACATTGTATTTACCTGTTTGATTTCCACGAGTTTCTATGTTTCTTTCTTGGTTTGGCTGCTAGACCCTGGCGTCATGACGCCCGCATCATGACGCCAGGGTCCGAGCTGTTGGACGTCGTAGAGCTTGCGGCTGCCACTGCTTTGGGTTGCCAAAGATCAGAGATTGCTGCGGACACCATCCTAGCCCCCCTGACATGTTTCGAGGAACTTGTTTTGCAATGGGGATCTGAAGATATCTGAAGTATGTCACCTGGATGTTTAAAAATGATCCAAAAAACTGGATGTCACGTTATATAAGTGTTACTCGTACAGATGTGATTTCAGTCGGATGATGGATGATGCCATATGACTGGGTCTTCAACAAAGTCCTGATTTGGTTGGGAAAGCCTCCTGTGTAGGGCTTGCAATTTTGAATGTTCTCCAACTAAACTGATCATAGAACTGATCATAAAACTTGCGCAAGATTGCATTTCTGTTTCCCAAGATTGGGCAACCTATTTTTTGGGGGATATGATAGTGCTCGTAAAATCGTTAATATTGTTCTTGGTGTCATTAGAACAATTCTTCAGGATATGGATTCGAGAGTTTTGGCCCCATCAGAACAGAGACGACATCTCACCAGTGGCAGGCCAAATTGGGCTTGGATTCTGGCGCTGTGGGGTCTCCCAAGTGGATTACTTGGATGACCTTCTGACCAAATCATCCCATGAATCGAGATGGGAGAAACGAATGGGAGGACTGAAATGAGGATGTTTATTTAGTATATTCATATGTTATAATGAAACATCTTCAAACAATTGGTCAGCCTTTATAAATGTGGGCGAACGTTTGCCCAGCAATATGGGTCGAACTAAAATCCACTGAAGATCCTTATGGCATCAACAACCGAAGGCTGTCCGCTTTGTCGATTTGCTGCAGAAAGAGCTGGACATAGGCTGGCACAGGGCAATAGGTCGCACGGGTTGGCACCTGGAAGTCAAGGTAGATGGTTGATTTTCCCATGAGTTGGGGGATGGTTATCATATGTTGTCACTATGATCTGCCCTTTACTGGTGGATCTGGTGGTTATGGGTGGTTAATGTTAAGCCGTTAAGCCCTTATTTTTTGAATCTCATTCATGGTGCTCGGATGACCATCCAGCCTTGGACGGCCTGGGATTTCCTCCCAGAAATGTCTGAAAATAACACCCTGAAAAATACCATCCGCATGCAGAAATTCCCATTCAAATTATTACCATATATATATATAATTATATATATATGGTGCCTCACCAGCCTCGGAAATGTTTCATATGTTTTAAAAAATCATTACCATATAGATAAATTAGATATTTGTGAGTCACTTCAACATCTTAAAGCCTGGAGATTCCCTGAGCCATTCCTTTGCGGAGGCAGTCGGCGACTCCCAGCAAGCTTAGTCTTCGACTATCCCAGCGTAGCAGAATTGGTGGACCGAGGCAGAGTTGGGAAGAGTTCGGATCTTCATTCTCTTGGCTATAGGGGATTATACTACCTGGTTTATATACTGGGGATTATGATAACCCATAGTAGGGAAACCTATCAACCAACTAGTATAATGAGATGGGATAGGGGTATTTTTAATGGCTCACTTGTATCCGGACTGATATACACTTAAATCATCCCATCTGAGAAATAGAAAAACGTGGGGATTACAGTGGCAAAACTCAGAACATGTCACTTACATATACGGGTCCTTCCCCCTCCTGGGAATGATTATGAGATGATTTAGGGTTTCCAAGGTAGAACCTACAGTGACCTACAGAAACCATGGAAACCATGGAGATGGGCCGATTTCTATGGGACCATCATGGTATACCTTGAAGGGTCTGAGACCACCAGCCAGTCAAGAAAGAGTGGCTTTCAATCTTTTGTCACATTTGCATCCTCAATGAATATGACTCTCCACGAATTCTCCGGTATATGTCCGTTATATGTCCTAAGAAATCAAAAAGCAGACCACGTTACCAAATTTCAACTGCAATCATCGGTAGCTCAAAGAGTTGGAACATGCATTGTTCATTTTTGTTTAAACTCGAAGCCTCGAGCGGTTCATACCATTGAAGCTTGCATATATCAATATGGGAGTTTCTTAAAATGGGTGTACCCCAAGTCATCATGGGTTTCGATGCGAAAATGGTTTAATGAGTGGATGTTTTGGGGGCACCCATATTTTCGGAAACCTCCATATGAGTGAAACTCCTGGGATCGGTTTTGTTTCAACCATTACCATATTCAGATCCAGATTTCGCTTCGGAAATGACCAATCACTGTGGGTATTATTGGGTCGTTAGGCTCAGCATGTTGACCCAAACCATACCCTTTCCAGATAATTACTGGCATACAATGTCAAGTAACCTTCAGCAACCTCGTTTCAAACATGTCTAAATGCTGCATTCTATACTGTAGAACAACAACTACTGTAGTTTGAGATGTATAGTATCTCAACCAATCTTAAATGATCTACCAGAAAATAAGAGTAGTCATTGAAAACTCACCATGAATCTAGTGCGAATGGCTCCTCTCTGCCAGGGCTTCCCCGTTTTCTGAGTGACACCAGTGACGCGGTCCTGCCACTCGCCCCTCAGGCCGTTAGATGGGTATCGAGACCCCCCCAAACCCTGCAGGTTATGTGGCAAGCCACGTAAAATGTCCACAAGTAAGCCTTAGATCCTTTGGTTGTAGTGCCTCATATGCTTGAATGCTTTGGGTTTCTCTGTTGTTTTAAGGTTTTCGACCCTGTGCACTGGGGTTTGGGCTGGCTGAGCTACAGTAGTGCTTCAATGTTCCTTAGGTGGTGCCCTTGTGCTTTGGTGCTTTGGGGTGCTGTTGGGCTCTGCGTGTCTATGGGCATTGGGTGCTGAAGGGCTCAGGGGCCGCGCAGATCTTCCAATAAGGTCTTCTTACGTTGCTATCAGATAACCAACATAATCACCCTGTTCAAATCACTTCAAGTCGTCCCACAAAAACTGTTTGTTTTTTTGCGTGACTCTAGTTCATGAGCTGAAAGCCGGCGGCTTCGCCCGTAGATGCTTCTGATTCAAGTCATTCGGGCACCCCTCGAGATGGTTGATACATGTTGATACTGTCATTGGCTCTAAGACACGTGTGGTTCCTTTTGTTTGAACAAAAACAGACCTACAGAAATAGAATGAAACAGATCTTGCCGATTCTTGCCCTCAGAATATGAATGGATACACAAATATCTACATTTTGTTGCAAAACAATATTATTTTCAATTTTCACTTAAATCTGCCTGGTTTAAAGTCGGGCGGTGTTCGTTCCTTCATAAAAAGGTGGATTTGTCGTCCACCACTTGGTGCGAAAACCAGGAGGGTCTGAACATACTCAGATCAAACAATTGGAGAGTTGAAAATTGAAAAATAACAAACACAATTTTGGAGAGTTGAAAAAATAACCAAGTGAAACTTTGACTCCAAGCTACTACACCACTACACTGGGGGCTATTGTTGTCTTGACCTATGCCTTCTGCTGAAACATTTATCAGGTTTATCAGGTTTATCATGAACAAAATTGTAGAATTTAACCCCCATGATTTATATATCATAATCATCCTTCTGAACATGTACTGCAATAAATTGAGTGCCCATTCATCCCTTTTTATTTCCAAACATAAGCCGACATAGCATGGACATAAATGGTTCATAAGGGTCCCCCAAAAAATGATGTGAAACATGTGTGTTTCTTCTGTGAACAGTTCCCAGATTTCTATAGTTGTTCAATATTTTTCGGGGTTACTATATCCATGGATGAATGAAAAAACAGTGTTTTGCATTGTTTTGTGTGAGCCATGAAGATAAACATGTACATAAGTGAGCCATGAAACACACCCCTATCTCTTGAAATACCAGGTGTGTTTTCTCAAGTGGGAAACCCCAATCCCATGGGTATCCTATGGTATCCTGTAGCCGAATCCCCTGAATTTTCACTAGATAGTCTAGCTCTCTCATTAAGCCAGTATAACAGTATAAAACATAACAGTATAACATAACATAACAGTATAACATAGTATAACATAGTATAACATAGTATAACGTAGTACAACATAGTATAACATAGTATAACTCTTCTAGAATTACCAACTATCAATATCTATGTGGCTTACATGCCCTCGGAGGCGGCTGAGTCGAAGTCAATTTTGATCTCTTCGGGCGCCTGGCAGTTGCCCGGGGCCGAGGAGCTGCAGGCGAGGATTTGACCAAATCCGGGCTTTCACTCGGGGAAAAAAAGCGGAGCACTTAGGGATTTTAGATGATTTTAGTATATTTTAATTGAAACACATAGGGGATTTCACTAATTTCACTATCCCTGAGCCAAGCAGGCCAAGCACCTTCGGAAATATGCAGAATTAGATGATTTTAGATGTATTTAGGCTATGATTTGGGGTGATGAAGTACCTTCGCAAGAAGCACTTGGAACATCTTGGAATCATGTATATACAAATATATACATATATATATAAATGGTTAACCAAATGGTTAACCCATCCACTTTCAAATTACATTAGTTATATAGTCATATCATTCTTGAAAAATGCATGCATTGCACCATACATGTTGATTCCACACGTACATGTGACTATACAAATCATTAAATGTTCATCTCTGTATCTTATTTTATCTTATCGTATTAGTGTATACATGTTCTTATTTGATCTTATCTTATCTTGTCTTGATTTATCTTATATATTTGTGTGTTATGTTTATTTTTTTTTAATCTTAGCTTATCCTATCCCATCCTATCCTATCCTATCTATCGATCTATCTACCTACCTATCTATTCAGTTCTATTCTATTCCAGTCTAGTCTACTCTAGTTTATCCTATCCTATCTATTTAAATCCCCATGTATATCGCTAGATATACCCCTGAGACGTATCTAGATATGCAGCCCTCCCTTCCGGCGTAGGTTTTGTGGACCCGGCAGCAGGATGAAGTTCAGGAGATCCCGCTGTGCAGGTGCCGGTTTAGCCATGAAGAAATCGATGGTTTACCTACCTATCATAGGGGTTTATCCATCAATCCAACATCGCACACTGTTAAACTACCAGAGGGAAGTTGCGGACATATACTAGGTCATAATTATACACATCTAATTGTAGGTTAGTTTTTTTAGTTTTTGCTGATATATTAACAACACATAATAAGAGTGTATGATCAGAACATGATTTCGCCTATAGATGGACAGATGGAAGCACGATCTGGAGCAGACATTGTGGGTACACTTTTGAGAATAGTTGACGGGTACATACTGGACAATCAAAATCCTTGTTGTTGGACACACCTGTCTCTCTTCATGTTTTTGTGTAGGCTTTCTTAGTTGCTTGCTTGGTCATTGTTGTTGTGTTAATTATGTGGTGTTCATGTTGTCGATGTTCCCAATACCACAATGAGGTATGAATTTACCATGGCTAGTATGGTGGGGTGAACTCCAAGCTTTGCGGGAACATACCAATATTGTCATGGTGAAAGATTTCCATCTGATCCGGGATAATCCGGGATGGTCCTTGCTTGATTATCATCGATCCATATGTTCCTATCCTACCATTATCCTTGGCTAAGTCGATTATCCTCTGGTTTCCTACCATATCCCATCCTATCCTACCATATCCATCCATATCCTATAGCCATTAAGGTAATTAAGTCCTATCCTGCCATCCCAGGTGGGATTGGACGACCTGCGAGACCTGCCAATCCTTAGGCTGGGATGTTTACCATCAAAAAAGGAGCAGGATGTCGCAACTATCCACTGGATTTCAATGTTGGGATGACTAAAATGATGATCTGGAAGGGAATCAGCCCCAAACGGCCAAGAAAGCTGATTGGTGTTTCTGGTAATTTTGCGGAGGATTGGGTTCCCATTTCATTCCCCTAATATTAAATACATCCCAACAAGGAAATCTACGGGACCTTGAAATGAATAAGTTGAATAATTACTCAAACTGGATTCATTTGGGGAGTCGTTAGGGGGAAGGGGTTAACAATGAGGGTTTGGACTTTATGGCCACTGGTTGCTTGCTAGACATAGATATAGTTGGTTGATCCTTGGTGATAAACACTGCAATCAACATTCAGAAACCCTTACATAATTATTTCCCTTCTCCACGGTTTGGTTAATTGGCAGAGGGGTAACCCCTCATTGAACAAGCAAATGATCAAAACCTTGATTCACAAAATCCGACCCCTCATGTTTTTTTCCCCCAAGGCCATCATTGGTTTTCAACCTATAGTCACTATAGTCATAGGTGGACAACCCATTGGGGACTCAAATGGGTTCCTGACGGTTACCAGGTACTGCATGACCGGGTCTCTTTTTTGGCCGGGAGGTGTTCGGCATGGCAGCTTCATTGAGAACGCTGATCAATTTGATGCAGAATTCTTTAGTGCGGAACTCGGTTGGTTTTGAACTGAGAAATCACCATCCCCCCAACCAACACCCTGCCATTGAGTTGGGGGTTGGAACCTCAAGTGATGCCGGGAGTCTGTGTGAGTTTTGGGCTTGGTAAATGGTTTCATTTGGGTGTGGATCAAAATAGGCAACCATTTAATTGCTACTTTCTAGTAGTAAACCACCCGGTCTTGGCTTTGGATCCATGAGCAAGGTCAAAGCCTTCTTTTGGGGCTCCATTGGAACCCTGGAAGTCAAAATGAGTTTTTTTTTGGCGAAAATGGAGATCTGGACCAGATTGGTGATCATTCAAGGACTACCAGGTAGCTACATACATAGAGTATTTCCGTGACTTGGGATTCACAGTACCGAGAATTTATGGGTTGGTTCAGGACAGACCCAAGATTCGTGCCTTGACCGATGGTCCGATGGTCAGTTTACCCTACCCCCAGGGGGGGCCAAGAGATGTTGATCTTGATGCTGATGCTGATGATGATGATTATGATGATGATGATGATGATGATGGTGATGACAAATGACTCTGATGTTTCAGGGTGTTTGAAAACAGCAATTCTGTTGGAAGCCGCTGGCTTCAACTTCCAAGCTTGGGCCACTGCAAAGAAGTGTGTTAGTCAAAACCTAGGCTACAAGGATTTTGAAACATCACCTGCAAGGCTGTTTCAATGGATTTCTGGTTTTGACCCAGGTGCCAGATATTCAACTTGTGAAACCGAGGTCTCTCAGCAGCAGAAACCCAAGTGCGGCCCTTGGCCCCAACATCCACCGAAATCTCCTGGTTGCGAGTTACAGTAGTTATTGCATCATTTTCAAGTTAGACCCAGACCCAGACCCTCCGTTTGTACCCATATACAGTTCTTATCCCATAGTTTTAGGACTTTTGCCATTTATTGGGAAGGTATTTGGAGGGTCTAACAGTATGGAAAGGCCAACTGGGTCCATTTGCAGAGTTATTTTAGGGGTACTTTGCTCTGTTGATCCCAGTTGCAGGGGTCGCCAAGTACTTGAGTACTTGCACAAGATTAACTCGTTAGAACAAAGTATGTGCCATGATGATAGCTTGGGTAAATTTCCCAGTCTTCGGGGGGATGGGAATAATCAATCGATCAAAAGGGATTCATGGACTGATTTTCTTTGGGATTCCCACTATGATGGATGGTCATACCAGACAAATCCCTATGTAATTTGACCATAGCATGCACATGTTTCCCATAATATGATGTATACTACTGGTATGGCACCTAATTCAGCACCCAAATGAGTATCCACAATCTATACTATACAATAACATATACTACCAGTAGTACCCGCACGAGGCGGGGCAGAAGTTGCCTTAAGGATATATAAGAACTTTCTCATCTATAGAACTTGCATGCGCCGTGCGCCAGCCAAGCCCGTGCGTGCGTGCACTCCGCGAAAGTTGTGTCCTGTTTCACATGTCACATTTGAAGCTCCACTTCGCACTTCACACTCCACACTTCACGCTTCACACTGCACTCTTCGCACTCCACACTTCACGCTTCACACTCCACACTTCACACTTCACACTGCGCTCTGCGCACTCAACACTTCACTTCACACTGCACTCTTAAGACTCCACACTCCACACTTCACACTTCACACTCCACACTTCACACTGCACTCTTCGCACTCCAAACTTCACACTTCACACTCCACACTTCACACTTCACAGTCCACACTTCACACTTCTCACTTCTCACTGCTTTCTTCACACTCCACACTTCACACTCCACACTTCACACTGCACTCTTCACGCCCCACACTTCACACTGCATTCTTCACACTCCACACATCATCTCATCTGAGCTCTTCTCACCTTATCCCAGCTCATCTCTTCTCATCTCATCTCTTCTCATATGTCACCTAAGCTTTCATGAATCACTTCCCAGTACTACTACTAAGGAACTTGCATGCGCCGTGCGCCAGCCAGGCCCGTGCGTGCGTGCTTTGTGCGAAGCTGTTGCAGTGTTGTTATCCAAGAACATGACCCGCGCGCGACCCCGGTGCAATGCAACGTGAAGCAAACACTTTCCGCACCTTCACATTGCACTTTTCACACTCCACACTCCCCACTTCACACTTGCACTTCATCTCAACTCAGCTCATCTGAGCTCTTCTCATCTCATTTCATTTCTTCCCATATGTCAGCTAAGTTCTTCTTGGCTATTTTCATGTCATCTGAGCGCAGCTCAAACTTTCTCATCTCACCGGAGCTAGTCTCAACTCATCTCGGCTCTTCTGCACGTCAGAAAGCTTGAGACACAGATGCATGTTACACAGCTTGCACAGAGTACTCCCCAGTAGTACTTGAAGAAACACCTTTCACCTCATTTACAGTATTGAGGTGATTATATAATGCCAAGCGTTCATGCATTGCATGTAATCTCAACCGCAAGTCTTTCGTCAATACAACTTATTGTAAACATGGTGTAGTTGTTATCTGTCAATCAGACTCCCGCATTGCACAAAGCACTTCCCAGTACTACTTTGTACTGCAAAGCCTGCACAAACTACTTCCCAGTACTACTGTGCACTACAAAGCTTGCACAAAGCACTTCCCAGTACTACTTTGTACTACAAAGCTTGCACAAACTACTTCCCAGTACTACTTTGCACTACAAAGCTTGCACAAAGCACTTCCCAGTACTGCTTTGTAGTACAAAGCTTGCACAAAGCACTTCCCAGTACTACTTTGTACTACAAATCTTGCACAAAGCACTTCCCAGTACTACTTTGTACTACAAAGCTTGCGCAAAGCACTTCCCAGTACTACTTTGTACTACAAAGCTTTCACAAACTACTTCCGAGTACTACTTTGTACTACAAAGCTTGCACAAACACTTCCCAGTACTACTGTGCACTACAAAGCTTGCACAAAGCACTTCCCAGTACTACTTTGTACTACAAAGCTTGCACAAACTACTTCCCAGTACTACTTTGCACTACAAAGCTTGCACAAAGCACTTCCCAGTACTACTTTGTACTACAAAGCTTGCACAAAGCACTTCCCAGTACTACTTTGTACTACAAATCTTGCACAAAGCACTTCCCAGTACTACTTTGTACTACAAAGCTTGCGCAAAGCACTTCCCAGTACTACTTTGTACTACAAAGCTTTCACAAACTACTTCCGAGTACTACTTTGTACTACAAAGCTTGCACAAAGCACTTCCCAGTACTGCTTTGTAGTACAAAGCTTGCACAAAGCACTTCCAAGTACTACTTTGTACTACAAAGCTTGCACCAACTACTTCCCAGTACTACTGTGCACTACAAAGCTTGCAGAAACTACTTCCCAGTACTACTTTGTACTACAAAGCTTGCACAAAGTCCTTCCCAGTACTACTTTGCACTACAAAGCTTGCAGAAACTACTCCCCAGTACTACTTTGTACTACAAAGCTTGCGCAAAGCACTTCCCAGTACTACTTTGTACTACAAAGCTTTCACAAACTACTTCCGAGTACTACTTTGTACTACAAAGCTTGCACAAAGCACTTCCCAGTACTGCTTTGTAGTACAAAGCTTGCACAAAGCACTTCCCAGTTCTACTTTGTACTGCAAAGCTTGCACAAATTACTTTCCAGTGCTTTCCAGTACGGCAGGGTTTTTAAACGGAGAAGCTTTTACACACAGAAGCTTTTACTCACAACAAGCTTTTACACAGAGAAGCTTTTACACACAGCAAGCATTCACACACAGCAAGAGTTACACACAGAACACTTACACAGAGCGCTTTTACACATGGCAAGCCTTTACACACACAGCGAGCTTTTTAAACAGAGAAGCTTTTACACACAGAGAAGCTTTTACACACAACAAGCTTTTACACAGAGAACAGCAAGCTTTTCACACACAGCAAGCGTTTACACACAGAACACTTACACACAGTGCTTTTACACATGGCAAGCGTTTACGCACACAGAAACTTTTACACAGAGGCGCTTTTACACACAGAGAAGGTTTTACACACAACAAGCTTTTACACACAAAATCTTTTACACACAGCAAGCTTTGAATACACAGAGAAACTTTCTTGTACATAATCGCAACAAGACTTGCAGCTCCAAAACCGGATCCCGGCGCCAAAGCGAAAAAAAGACGATTTTGAAGCACTTTTTTAAAGGATTTTTGAAAGGAAAATTACTAGCGCCAAAATTCGAAAATCTGCTGACAAATCACTTTCGCTGATGCAGCCACTCCAATACGATTTACGAGATCCAGCTGCACAAGACAATAATATTACGCATGCAGCCGCGGCACCAAGCAACCTTGACGCAGCCAGTAACTACAATGCGATCCGCAGAGACTGAGTTGCAAAACGCAATAGAACTACGCGCAACGGCGTCGGAAATTGCAGCTCCAAAACCAGATAGATCTCGACGCCAAAGCAGAAAAAAGACGAGTTTGAAGCACTTTTTAAAATGATTTTTGAAAGGAAAATTACTAGCGCCAAAATTCGAAAATCTGCTGACAAATCACTGTCGCAGCCTGGATGCAGCCACTCCAATACGATTTACGATCTTCAGCTGCAAAAGACAACGCAGGCGGCCGCGGCACCAAGCAACCTTGACGCAGCCATTACAATGCGTTTCGCAGCATCACGTTGCAAACCTGCACGTATCTACGCACATGGCAACACCAGACGACAACAATCATGCAGCCATTCCAATGCGATCTGCAGCCACAGATTCCTAAACACCCTACAACTACGCACGCACAAGCACACCCAAAGCAGATTGAAGCCACCGTTACAATGCGGCGCAAAAAAAAAGGCAAACCGACCGCAGCCGCACCCGCCGCACACAGGAGGTACCTTTCATCGCCGCCTGCCGCCACTTTACACGGAAAAATCCAAGGTTTCGTGCTCCGGCTTCCTCCCCAACACGAGCCCCATGCAACATTCATGCAGCCATTGCAATGCATTTTGCACCTCCCTTCATCAAGGTCAATCCTTTTGTGATGTATTGTTATGTAGTGTAAAGTCACACACCGCCCTTCATCAAGGTCAATTCTTTTGTGATGTATTGTTACGTAGTTTATAGAAAGTCTCAGACCGCCCTTCATCAAGGTCAATTCTTCTGTGATGTATTGTTAATAGTGTAAAGTCACACACCGCCCTTGATCAAGGTCAGTTCTTTTGTGATGTATTGCTATGTAGTGTAAAGTCACACATCGCCCTTCATCAAGGTCAATTCTTTTGTGATGTATTGTTATGTAGTGTAAAGTCACACGCCGCCCTTCATCAAGGCCAATTCTTTTGTGATGTATTGTATGTAGTGTAAAGTCTCACACCACCCTTCATCAAGGTCAAGTCTCACAATTCTATTTGTCCGTAACACGGAAATATTGCTTCCCAACTTCCTTTGATAACTATACTACATAACTAGTACCGCTGTTTTCACCATCTAATTCTTATCTTTCCCCTGGTCGCATCCCCTTCGCCAGGTGATGGATCCGCAGCAGCGTCTCATGCACCTGGGCTGACAGAGTGGTGGTGGTTCCCACGAAAATCGGCCATCAAAGTGCCATTTTGATAGGGGGAAAATGAGGGGAAAGAGTTGTTGATGTTGTTTTTTGAGCCAATTTGATTCTTGGACCATCCTTTTGTTCTGCCAGGGGTCCTAGCTTTGGCGGGATCCCTCGTTGGTATTCCGCACGTGAACTTTAAGATCGAATGCCACGGAGCATAAACATGTCCACTATCATCATAAATAGACCCTGCACGTACCCATTAAATGATGCTTTACCCATCTGTTGCCATTTTGTTGGGGTATTTGCAGGGTCTATAGGTATATATTCTTTAAGTTTCCATGGTATAGTCACAGTTTCAGCGCCGTGTAGCCTCTTTTGCCCCTTCAATTTGTGATAATTTCTGGTATTTGTGGAGGTTAGTTTCGGGACGGTTGAATATTGGCAGACTCTTGTGCTTCATTGGCACCCCCTACAATCCAGATTCCATACGGCCCCAAGCCATCGGTTATGAATAAAGTTGACTAACATGCTTGGGGATTGTCCCAGTTATTCTTGAGCACATCCCAATGTTTGCGGTTAATAATGCAGTGCTAAAGACCCAGTGTCGTGTTCTCGAATCTTGTCAGCTGGCCGCTGCTTCCGCTGACGCGCGCACGCACAATATTCCATATATAATCATAATAGAATATATATATATATATATACACATTATATATTTATACATAACATATATATATATATCTACACATAATAAATATATATATATATATACATAATATATATATGTACACATTATATATATATATACATAATATTTATATATACATATAATATATATATATATACATAATACTTATATATACATATAATACTTATATATACATATAATATTTATATATACATATAATATATATATATATACATAATATATTTATATATAAACATAATATATATATATATATATATACATATATACACATAATACATACATACATACATACATACATACATACATACATACATACATACATACATACATACATACATACATACATACATACATACATACAAACCATACATACATACATACATACATACATACATACATACATACATACATACATACATACATACATACATACATACATACATACATACATACATACATACATACATACATACATACATACATACATACATACATACATACATACATACATACATACATACATACATACATACATACATACATACATACATACATACATACATACATACATACATACATACATACATACATACATACATACATACATACATACATACATACATACATATATATATATATATGTCCAACTATGGGGGGTTCAAGGTAGAGTACCATGTTATGGCGTATGAAATCACCCTCCTCCAGGCTTACGACTTCCTACAGAGCCTTGGCTGGGTCAGGTCATGACAAGGCGGGGTGCCACGTCCAGGGTAAGTTGTTGTAAGCCTGGATTCGATGTTTTCCCAATGGAATATCCACCAGACATGGAGAATCTATGGGGAACATTTGTTTTAATGTATTTTCTTGTTGGGTTTCTTGGATATAAAATCATATAAAATCCAAGCAACGGTCATGACACAGGAGGCACCTCCATCGGGGGGCTCTGCACAGGGAACATCAATGGCTGCTCTGTGAGGCGACGCTACAAGGGACTCCCATGGCCATTTTTGCTGCTCTTAGCAACCAGGACAGCTGCAATTTCTTCGCCAAAAACAGTGGATATCAGATGATAGCAGTGGTGGGTTGGCTGAAGAAACTGGATCAGGAGTTGATCGAGATAAACTACAGCCGCATTTGGAAGTAGAAACAGGGACGTTGGTCCAAATGTATCCAAATGTGATAATACCATTTAATACCACCCATAGTGGACCCCTCTGAAACAGCCTGAGTTGGCCTAGCTCCACCACCACAGCAACAGACGAGCGGCCAGGACTGGTACCATAGCTCAATGAACGCGACGACGAGCGTATACACAGGTCATAAACATGTTTACACAATGCAGTCATAACAAGTTTGCATAGGGAATTGTCGCGGACCCAGTTTCTTACTGAAGTTTCCGTGTTGGCTGGTTTGGGTCGGCTCTTTGTGATTCCACACAGATTCCCTTGTATTGATCAATCCCTACCAGCGATCCCCACGCCACCAGTGAATCGTAAAGGTTTTCCAGTCGGGTGGCTCGCACTCAGCAGATCGCGCCAGGTACAGGGGTTTCTGCTGCTGTGGCCGCAAATCGCATTTCGTTTACGCTGGGTTTGCGGGGGCCTAGTGCCACCATCGATACAGCTTGTGCCTCTGCTGCATGGAGGATCCCTTGGATGCCGTGGATTCTAAATGGCTGGCAAAGGGACTAGCTGCTTATATACTAAAGCATTAAAGACACGTATTTATATATATATATATTGTATTATATTATATATATATATATTTACATATATATTATATATATATATATGTATATATTATATTATATATTATATATATAACGTATATCATCATCACATATATATATATATATATACATGTCATATATTCCTCTCGTGACTTGGATCTATGATATATAAATATATATATATATATATGTGGATAGATTGGTCGTACTCGAGTTAAGCGCTGGGCTGACCTGGGGCACTGGGGGACATGTGGGTTAGCTGCTAAGCTGGCTCTGCATTGCACCAACAATGTTGAACAACGTTTGTTGATGTTCAACGATAGTTGGTACATGTTGGGATGATGATCGTTACAATATTACAATATGTTGTGTTTGGTTGTCAACACTTAGTTGATGTTCGATGTTCAACTTTTTTGGATGATTCTTGAAATATTCAAATAGTCAATAGTCAACTATAAATCATGATCCAACATATTTCCATCATTTCTTTTTGGGATTTAAACTTGCATTGTGAAAGCACCAGTGAAAGACTCCCCTGAGGTTCTTCCTCTCTGACAGCCATCTCGGCAGCTGCTGACATTCTTCGACGACCTTCAAGACATGTAGGCAGCGCCGACTCGTCGAGATGGAATCCTGGGACTTTTCGACAAGGAGGATGCAGCAACCAGGGGAGGTTGGAGATTCACCAAGACCACGTTGGCTGCTGGGTAAATATGTTGTAGTCGGTTGGGTGAATTCTAAGCACCATCCATGGATGGAGCTGAGTTTCGGACGTAGGAGGTTAGCTAAATGGTAAATTGTGATCTATACCATATATCCCCATATGGTGATTGTTCATTTATGGCTCAACCATAATGGAATGATAGTGCGAGACTGCGACAGGGCCAACTTCTCGACGCAAATTGCGAGAATCTGTTGGAGGCTTAGATTTGCAGATACTGTCAGGATCTCTCCACCAAATGGGACGCTGAATTTCCTGACCAGGCATATGATTAATAAAGAGCACTTGATTTAAACAACTCTTGTGAAATCAGTTTGATTTGTTGTTTAGATATAACAGCCGTGGGTGGGGCAACAAGTTTACATCGTTCATGGCAAATGTACTTTTTACGTTCCTCTTATATAATTGGTTTCTGGTGCATAGTGCAGCTTCTGTAAATCCTGCAGTGAGGTTGCAGCTGGTTGTGAACTTTTGTGCGGCACTCAGCTTAGCCATGCTTAGCCTCGGACGATTTCACCCGCCACCTTCGGCGCCTTCGGATCCCACGGCTGCAGATTGGGACCCAACTCGATTCTGCTTCGCTCCACGGCCAGCATGCTATCGCAAGACTCTCAGAGTGGAAGATCCGAAGCATTTAGCAAATTTAGATCATTTAGATAAATTTAGTCATTTGGGCCGGGTTGAAACCCCATACCCCTCGTGATGAAAATAGCTGCTAATATGGGTGTTCATCCTCCCAAATGTGGCAGAATAGGTTTGGATACATCCCCGTGTGTTGATTGAAAAAAACATCAAGGCATCTGAACCCATGTGACATGCTGAGTCAATCTTGAATGTGTGACTCAAACTTTGGCATGTAGCTACAGCTAGATTTGCATGTACTGGTCGTACATTGACGATTCTATATCCTTCGACAATCAAACATAGACGTGGCTAGTGTGAAGTTTCCACTTTGGATTTGAAGATAACCTATAAATGCAGATGGTGAAACTTTCATAGCCGTTATCAAGTTTGCCAGGGGGAAAGTGCAAATTTTTCAAAATTGACTACTTACAGCAAATATAATCCCTTCCTCCTAATACTAAACCCCCCCCCTAATACAAAACACGGCAGGTAGTTTTTAGTATTAGGGGGGTATTTATTATTAGGGAACCAAATCGAAGTCATGTTAATTAATTAATTAAATTTCCTTATATAACGCAATTAAAATATTGCCAAAAATGGCAGTTCGAAGCTTACCCCTAATACTAAATTAAAACCCTTAATACTAAAAACTATTTTTTCCGATCTCAAAATCAATTAAATTTTCTTATATAACGCAATTAAAATATTGCCAAAAATGGCAGTTCGAAGCTTACCCCTAATACTAAATTAAAACCCTTAATACTAAAAACTATTTTTTCCGATCTCAAAATCAATTAAATTTCCTTATATAACGCAATTAAAATATTGCCAAAAATGGCAGTTCGAAGCTTACCCCTAATACTAAATTAAAACCCTTAATACTAAAAACTAGCCCCCCTAATACTAAACACCCCGGGATGAATTAGTTTTTAGTATTAGGGGGGAGAACCCACAAATGGTAGGTTGATTTTTGAATTGTTTTTTAAAGGGGATCAATTAAAAGTCAAATTGGCCAAACTGAAATTTTCGGAAATTGGAGATGGATGCCTGTTTTTAGTATTAGGGGGACGTTTAGTATTAGGAGGAAGGGATTAGTGAGTATACCAAGCATATATTCAACGTATGTGATTTTGGGATATTTGGATGTTATCCCATGGTACCAGTGGTGATGGCAAAGGATTCCAGGATGCCCAGTCCCTGAAACCTGGATTCCTTTAAAGAAAAAGGGTGGGGAAACCCAGACGAGTGCTAAGTAGAGATTCTTCACTACAAATGGAGGTTTTAATGGGCAAATCATCTGTAAATGGGCCATTTTCCATAGCTATGTTAAATAACCAAAGGGTAATATATAGTAATAGAACTATTACCTTGATGGGTTTCACATGTTTCACAATCATGGCTTGGAACTAGGGGCCCAGGTACCATCCCATAAGGAAGCCCTTCTCAGGCCTATCGGCCGATGTCAAACCTTCAACGCGACGGCAGATGGATATGTCAGGACTGGTGATGCGGCAGATCTTCGGGTTGACCTTGGTGGCAGGTTGATTTCTGAGTGGTTTTTGTTCAAAAAAATGTGAGGTCCACCGTCTGCCCCTGGTTATTTCATAGGGAAACTTCTGATTTACCTGTGGGTTTATAGGGCACCCTATTTTTTGACATCTCCATACATCAAGCCTGCTGGCCAGTATGTGTTTGTGGCATTTTCAAAGTTGGCTATATATCAATGATGTGAATATATTTTTCAGGACACCACCTTATTACTGAGGTTGTCTAACTGATAGTGGCTTTGGTTGAACTGATATGTTTATAGTTTATACATTTATAATTAAACATTTGGTTGCCAAACTTTTGGTTGGTCGCAGATGAATAGACCAGTCAACCTTAACACTTTCGAAACCCAATTGGCTCTGACTCCCTGTGCTTATACTTCTTTGTAAGGTTAGCTTTACTCAGCAATGGTACATAACATAGAGTTAGCTTAAAACCATTTAAAACCTGCAATTTTGCTGCCTTATCTCATGGGATGTAACATCCTCAGCCCTCAGGGGTGAGGGATCTGGAGCGATGCTCCTGACCCTTGGAAACGATCCGTCCTGGTGCGGAAGTGAGGTGCGTAGACTCTGGTGGCCACCGAATTGCGTTGATTCTGGATGGTTTTTGGCCTCTGGCAATCAAACATGGCAATGATCTGCAAGGATAACAAACCATGGCAATGTTCGATGTTTTTCCCATTTAGATTCTTATTTGAGATTATTTGGAGATGTCCCAGCTACAGTAGTCATTTTGTCTGATGTAACCTGGATGATCCTGAGGCACCACATGTTGACACCACCCTGAACGATCACAACTTGGTTATCTATCAACAAACCATCAAGGAAGCTTCTCACCAATGTTTTTTTTTCCGCAGGCTGTTTAATATACCTGGGTCGATCTCAACTTTGAGAGATTACATGAGATTACATTGATTAAACCATTGAAAAGATGGTATCAATGTATCAACCCAAGAACCTACACAATAGTGACGTATGGCCTCGAAAGTTTTGGGGGAGTAAGCTGACAGCCTCCAGATGCCTCCAGTGTCATCAGCTCCATGGCTGGGAGATCCATGACACGGGACCTGCAAGGTGATGCTGTGTGCAGCCACTACGAATCAGGAGCCATGCCATGCCATGCCTCGACGGGATGACGGGATTGGATTGGGCCGTCCATGGCCAGGAACCAGCATATTTTGTTGTTGTTTCTGGAATATCGGATGGCTTTGAAGATATTATAGTACACCCAACCAATACATATTGACCACCATCTCAAAAAATCAAGCAGGGTTTAAGAGCTGTTAACTATTTTTCCGGGATTGCTATAATATAAATATGGCAAAGCCAATAATAAATACTGTGAGTTTTCAAGGATATGATGACGCCAAGTGGTTGGTGCAATAGATTTTTTGAGTGCAGCCAGAACCCGCTGAAGCGATGGGACAGTAGTACTTCAATTAGTTAGTTGTTTTTAGTATTTTTTTAGTTCACTGACCTTTGGTGACCTTGGTAATTTTTCCCATTATATCCCTATAGTTGGGGAAATCCGCATTTTTTGTTGACCAAGCCATCGATGCCAGGACGGTCGTAGCGCAACACTGACTGCCCCAAATGGGCAAGCGCAAGAGGAGGCCGGAAAGCTTGGGTGAAATCATGTTGGACGTCGTTCCATTCGATGCCGGGCCATTGAACTTGGAGATTTCCCCTTGTTTTCATATCGAAAGCTGATGACCTGTCCAACTTGAGGTTTTACTTGATGCTTTATGGCTAAGCACTCAGTCTCTACCCAGCCTGGGTGGATGTGGGGTTTCTGTACCCTCCGTTGCCTCCGTTGTACCCAAACAGAGCTACATGGCATAAAACCACAGCACAATAAAATAAACAATTATAAACATGAATGATTTGCTGGTCCATACATTATTGGTGGGTGTGGCGGGTTACTATGTACTCTTGTCATCTCTTGTCTACATTTGAACAACTTGTTACAACCATCGGGTGCAAGACCTTTCCATGGATTTCTTGACCCTTGCTATCCCTTGCTCACTTTTGAAGCCACGGTCTGAAAAGTCCTCTTGGTTCAAGATTCGTTTCCTTGAAAATTGGATTGTCAAAATTACTAAGACTAAGAGGCTGCAATGGTACCATTCTTGGGGTCAACACCACATCGAAGCGCAATTGAACTGGAAGTAAACCCACTATTGATAGCAAGGAGCTTTAATTCGTATCATTCTAATGACATCCTGCATCCGACTATCAAAATACCCAAGCTTTCCAATACTGAGCAAGAGATGCCTTGAATATCCTGGTGCCTTAAGTTGCTACTAACATCAGAAGAGTATTTAGCCCCAAAAGTCTTGGTACATTTTGGTACTCCAAGCAGCCATTGGCATTTGAATACACAACAATAGCAGCAATAGCAAGCAACATACGCACATACAAGGCCCAGAATCCTTTTTTAGGTGGACTCCCTATTTCCTGCGGGTTACCCACGCTCCTTGACGCATGACCAATCCGTTTGTGGCCCCAATGGGTCGTACAAATGTCCTACACATTTGGACCGATACTAATCCATACCCACTATTTTGGGCGTTGTTTTATCAACACCCCAGTTTCCGGCTTTTGCTGACTAGCATCCCCTTGCTTTTTGAATCCGATTATATACATCATTGAAAAATCCGCGACTCCCGGGCAATCCTTAAACAGAAACAGTTTTGGTGGCTAAAGTGTAAAATCCATTAAAATCCCAATTTTTCCAAAAATTCTGCAGCTTGTTGGGTGTAAAATCCCAGGTAAAACCATGCACCCCAACTTATCCCAGTTCCCATCGCCCTTGGCATCTCAGGCTGGCCTCTGTTGATGCCTCTAGCGTGAGCTGCGTGGAGTGCCATGGCACCGGTACAGCCTTGGGAGATCCCATTGAGGCGCCAAGGGATAGTTTTTTCTTGGTCATAATTGTCATTTTGATTCATTTTGAATCATTTTTCTTGGATCCTTACCCATCCTATATGTGTATATATATATAGATATAATTATATATAAATGTATATATTATATTCATGTACACGTATATTTGGGATGGTCATCATGGTCAGTTTTTGTTTCTCTTTAGTATTCAATATTTGGGGGATCTTCCTGATTTTGAGCTGTTGCCAGGAGAAGATGTCTGTTTCCGGTGTTGTGGATATGGGGAAAGACACCCAGACCCTTCATGAAATCAATGTGAATGCGTGGTTGGTCTCAAATCGCTGAGGCTGTTGGTTTATTGTTGTTGCTTATCTTGTAGATGAGAACATCTACCCTATATGTGGTATATAGTCCGACATTTGCTGAGACTGTTTGGGTTGTTGAGTTCTGCAAACTTTGTGAGAAAATCCAGGCAGTATCACCAATCAACGGAACCTGTGAACAACTATTCAGAGAACGTTTCACAATTGTTCACTGTGATGGAGATTAACCATGAAAAAATTGCTCACCGTGTGTGAATTATGGTCCCGCTAGAACCTCCTTCCAAAACAATAAACAAAAATATAAGTAAATAAATAGATAAATAGATAAATAAAGATTGTATAAGGCTGTTGATTTTTCCAGAATCATGCCCCTTACTCTTGACACCATTTAACGGCTTTCTCATGTGCTCTCCTATCATGTGCCTCGCATAAATGAAACCAGAAAGCATGATGCCAGTAGGACCGCACAAGGTGGTGGCGGAAGTTTCAAAGATAAGACACCTACAGGGGAGGTTTGTTGTTGTGACGCATGGATGTATCTTTCTCTATCTCTCTCTGCCTCCTTCCCTCTCTGTCTCTCTATGTTGCCCTCTCTCTCTCTCTCTATCTATCTACTCCTACCTCTCTCTCACTCTCTCTCTCTCTCTATCTATCTATCTATCTGTCTGTCTATCTATCTATCTATCTATCGATCGATCTATCTATCTATCTATCTATCCATCTATCTATCTATTTATCGATCGATCTATCTATCCATCCATCCACCTATCCATCTATCCATCTATCCATCTATCCATCTATCCATCTATCCATCTATCCATCCATCTATCTATTCATCCATCAATCAATCTATCCATCTATCCATCTATCTATCTTTCTATCTATCTATCTATTTATCTATCTATCTATCTATCTAGCTAGTTATCTATCTATCTATCTATCTATCTATCTATCTATCTATCTATCTACTCCTACCTCTCTCTCACTCTCTCTCTCTATCTATCTATCTATCTATCTATCTTTTCTATCTATCTATCTATCTATCTAATTTATCTATCTATCTAATTTATCTATCTATCTAATTTATCTATCTATCTAATTTATCTAATCTATCTAATCTATCTAATCTATCTAATCTATTTAATCTATCTAATCTATCTAATCTATCTAATCTATCTAATCTATCTAATCTATTTAATCTATCTAATCTATCTAATCTTTCTAATTTATCTATCTATCCATCTATCCATCTATCTAATCTATCTATCTACCTATCTTTTCTATCTTATCTATATTATCTATCTTATCTATCTTATCTTATCTATCTTATCTTTTTTTTATCTATCTATCTATCCATCTATCCATCTATCTATATATCTATCTATCTACCTATCTTTTCTATATTATTTATCGTATCTGTCTTATCTTATCTATCCTATATAGTTTTTCTATCTTATCTATCTTATCTATCTTATCTATCTTGTCCATCTTATCTATCTTATCTATCTTATGTATCTTATGTATCTTATCTATCTTATCTATCTTCTCTATCTTCTCTATCTTATATATCTTATCTCAATCTTATCTATCTTATCTATCTTATCTATCTTATGTATCTTATCTATCTTATGTATCTTATCTATCTTATCTATCCAATCTATCTATCTATTTATCTATCTATCTATCTATCTATTGATCTATCTATCTATATTTCTTTCTTTCTTTCTATCGTATCTATCTATCTATCTATCTATTTATCGATCGATCTATCTATCGATCGATCTATCTTTCTATCTACCTATCTATCTAATTTATCTATCTATCTATCTATCCATCCAAACTATCCAATCTATCCAAACTATCTAATCTATCTAATCTATCTAATCTATCTAATCTATCTAATCTATCTAATCTATCTAATCTATGTAATCTATGTAATTTATCTAATCTATGTATTCTATCTAATCTATCTAATCAATCTAATCTATCTAATTTATCTAATCTCTCTAATCCATCTTATCTATCTCTTGTATCTTTTTTTATCTTGTCTATGTTGTCTATCTTGTCTATCGTGTCTATCTTGTCTATCTTATCTATTTTTCCCCGTTTCCATATTATCCATCGTATCGATCTTATCCATGGTATCTGTCTTATCTGTCTTATCTGTCTTATCTGTCTGATCTGTCTTATCTGTCTTATCTATTTTATCTACCGTATCCATCTTATCTATCTTAGCTATCGTATCTATATTATCTATCTTATATATCTTTTCTATCTTATCTATCTTACCTATCTATCGATATTGATCTATCGATCTATCCTATCTATCCTATCTATCTTATCTGTCCTATCTAGCTATCGATCTATCTAATCTATCTATCTATCTAATCTAATCTAATCTAATCGGATCTAACCTAATCTAATCTTATCTTATTTAATCTTATCTAATCTTTTCTAATCTTTTCCAATCTTATCTAATCGTATCTAATATTTTCTTATTTAATCTAATATTATCTAATCTTATCTAGTATTATCTAATCTTATCTAATCGTATCTAATCTTATCTAATCTTATCTAATCTAATCTTATCTAATCTTATCTAATTTTATTTAATATAGTCTAATCTTATCTAATAATATCTAATCTTTTCTAATCGTATCTAATCTTATCTAATCTTATCTAATATTATCTAATCTTATCTAATCTTATCTAATCTTATCTAATCTTATCTAATCTTATCTAATCTTATCTAATTTTATCTAATCTTATCTAATCTTATCTAATCTTATCTAATTTCTTTTAATCTTATCTAATCTTATCTAATCTTACCTAATATTTTTCTAATCTTTTCTAATTCCAATCTTTTCTAATCTTATCTCTCTATCGATCGATCCATCCATCCATCCATCTATCACGCTAGACTACACACTACAATGCACAACACTACAGTACACTACACTACACTACAGTAATTACACCACCCCACAGCTACAACTGCAACTGCAACTGCAACTATGCTACACTAGTTACTCTACATCACAACTACAACTACAAGTGCACTACACCACACTACATCCAGCAGTTGTGGTGAGGTGACCACTGCAACCATTGCAACCACTCCGAAAAACACAACTCCAACCACCTTTCGGTCCATCAGTGGATTCGCTCTGCCATCCGTGATTTACAACAACCAACCTCTCCTATAGGTTTCCTATGGTTTCCTATTTTTGAAACTTCCGCCACCGCCTTGTGCGGTACTACTGGTATACCATCATTCACCAGAAACAACTGCATGGTACAACTCAGAACCATCAAAATCTTGATAGAAACCAACCGAAAAAGTGATCGAAACTGGTTGAAAACACTACACCACCTAAAAGGTCCAAGTAATAGCATGTCCCCATCAAGTAATAGGAGGTCCTGATCATCAAAGTTAAAAGGCTAATTTTACGAGGTCATTGACTTGGAGATTATTTACCAGAATTTATCAAACAAATGAATTGAGTCAAACGGTGAAATTCACTGTCCGACATTAAAAAAAAAACAAATCAATGGCAGGCTCGGGCCTTGCGTGCAGTTCTGGGCCGAGGAACTCAGGCCTGCAGACTGCAGACGGCTGGAAAATCACATCAGAAATTGTATTTTAGCCCTCGGAACATGCATTTTGCACCAATAAAGGATGTGTTGCACCTAGAACAAAGTTGCAGTTTTCTGATATTATACAGTTGAAGCGGTAATTAACCCCAAAACGATGAAAGTGGTGGTACTTCCGTCTGCGTTTATGCACACTTAACAAGGTCAAAGTCCTACCTCAAATTACTTTACTTCGTGTGATCCCCACCATGACATTTATACATTTTCTTACTGGCAAATCTTCTGGCATTCTATCTGACATATCTTCTGACATTCTATTTGGCATTCTATCTGGCATATCTTCTGGCATATGATCATATCTTCTGGCATATCTTCTGGCATTCTATCTGGCATCTGGCATTCTATCTGGCATATCTTCTGGCATATCTGGCATCTTCTGGCATTCTATCTATTCTGGCATATCTTATTCTATCTGGCATGGCATTCTATCTGGCATATCTTCTGGCACTGACATATCCATCTGGCATATCTATCTGGCATTCTATCTGACATTCTATCTGGCATATCTTCTGGCATTCTATCTGGCCGTTGGGGTCCAGCGGTGCGCACTGAGCTGGGAAGGTCCCAGGTTGAGGTCCAGCGGTGCGCACTGAGCTGGGAAGGTCCCAGGTTGAGGTCCAGCGGTGCGCACTGAGCTGGGAAGGTCCCAGGTTGAGGTCCAGCGGTGCGCACTGCGCTGGGAAGGTCCCAGGTTGAGGTCCAGCGGTGCGCACTGAGCTGGGAAGGTCCCAGGTTGAGGTCCAGCAGTGCGCACTGAGCCCGGAAGTTGGCGAAGAGCTTGGCGAAGAGTTGGCAAGGCGGAAGTGGAGGTGGAAGCTGATGCAGACATGGTCGAGGAGAAACTGGAGGAGGAGGCGGGGGAGGAGGAGAAGGAGGAGGAGGAGGAGGCGGAGGACAACAGCTCTGATAAAATCTAACAACCCTCACCTGGCAGGTGGGGAAAAATCCACCAAAGAAACCATTTTGTTTTGGTTCAAACGACTGGATTGCTTCCTTTATATTTTGTTTTGTTGCCATAAACGGGTGTGTATGTCCTGTATGTACTAACCAAAAAGAAATATCAGGATGACTTTAGTCGCCATGTTTGACATGTTTTGTGGGCATGCTTGATGGTTAAACCAGTACCCCAATAGCCCAATTTTCCCCAGGACCTGTGGCTTGGCGCTGGAAAGAGTCACTTGGGACACTTGGAGGCGGCTGCTGGATTCGCCGGCCTTGCCAAGGCAGGGGACCGGACTGGGACCCAGGGGACTTGGCGTTTGTTTTTTACAATGGTGCATTCAACATAATTTAAGCATATGAGCTGTGGTCAATACTCATGGTTAATAACCATTAATAGGGGCTAGTCATCCAATGGTTCATAGGGATTTAAATTAACCATTATAAGGATCATTATTATGGATGGGATGACCATCAACCATATAGTGAGTATTGACCATGGCTCATATATTTAAGCCATTGTTTTTTAACCATCAACAGATGGGGATATAACTAGACTATACTAGACTGTTTGAACATGTTCCCTCCAAGCCGGACGTTGTTCCACACCCCAAGAGAATCATCATCATCATCATCATCATCATTTTGGTGCTTGATAGGTTGATAGGGAATGGGGAAATGATCCAAAGGATCCAATCCATATCCTCAACTTATCTTCATAAAGGGATTCAAATTTGCCACCCCCTCTGAATTATATGTTGATGATAATAAGAACATGAACTTATCTTGTTGAGGGATCAAAATCCGCCACCCCCTCTGACTACTGTACTACGTTGACAGGGATCATAACATCAACTTATCTTCATAATGGGATCCAAATTTGCCACCCCCTCTGACTTATATGTGATGTAATATACGATATATGTGCTATGTACTATTATATACTTCGGAAACTTCTGATTCCGACGCGGAGCAACGTAGGGGTTGCAGCGAACATGTTTAAACGAACAAACATGGTGATACGATCAACAACCACAAGGTGATTTTAGCTCTGAAACTAGCGTTGTTGTTGTGTTTTTCACCGACATATATGGTGATGTATCCAAAAATACCTGTTTGACTTAGTCACAGACCCGGACATTTCAACATTGGCCATACTTGGTCGTTTCGTAACCTTATGCTTGGTTGCCCCTAACAGTCACCCCAGAAGAGCAATGCCTTTGATCGTGCCAGGTGATGTGCAGCTTGCAGAATGGTGCCATTGCGCCAAATCTGCACTTCAACTCATTGAACCCTCACATCGACCTGGCAAACTCACGCCTGGTGGTGCCGACTGCGGCCACTTGGCTGTTGATCACCATCACCTCGGAGATAGATTTGGGTGATTTCATTTCTTGAACCATCCAATTTTTTCCTTCAATTCTTGTTTCCAATCAATGCCATCAGGTGAAATGCCCATTGATTCTTGCAGATTCTTGCAATTTCTGTCCTCTTCCCAGGAATTCTTGAAATTTGCACACATCCATTGTTTGCGGGGTACCCGATGGCAACTGAAATCGTCCCCAATGAGGTGAGCCAACTGCGACCAGAAGGCGGCGGGAGTCTCATGTCAGGCCGGGTTTCCGCACTGTGCAAGACATGCGAGGTAGACATCTGAATGAAAAATTGCGTAATGCATTTCTTGGCATTTGAATTTTCATAACCCATAGGATCCATGTATGGTATATATGCTAACATTGGGGGTATATTGATGGTAAATGTTACCATATATAGCATACATGGATCCTATGGGTAATGATAATGATTAACATTGATTAACACATTTATAGATTTAGGGGCACCATATTTTCAGACCCAAAGGTCATTTGACAAAACAAGAGCATACCAGAGCACTGATGAATGTGACAATACAGATCCCTTCAAATGGTTGCCTGGGGCTCAAACATGAAAATGTGAAGATGATCTACAGTAATTGACTCACTGGTTTGGGGTGGCCAAGAGCTATCACAATTTGGGTAGGGGAACCTCGGCTCGGCGTCTATGCTCTTGATAGTTGCATTGTTTGGCCCATATCCAATCACCTCTGTCTAGTCTCTCTGTCTATGGATTTATCTAATTATAAAAGTCGCCGGAAAAGAAGCTGTTTGCCTTATCGTTTAGACAATTGCCTCGTAAACAAATATATATGCGGTTGGATTGTCTGCCCAACATCTCAGAGAAGTGTTTATTTTTTAGCAGATATGCCCCGCTGCTCAAGGTCTCCAGGAAAGGCAATGGACCCCGGAAATGCTACTGGTGGCTTTTCCTTTTTGTAGGATGAGTATTCGGACCTGTTGACCTTGCCGCTTGGTTATGTTGTTAAAAATCCTTTTACTCATCACTTCCCCCGATTTCATCTGATATATAATTGGATCACAGTTGCCTGGAAGCGGTTAGTTAGAGGCCCTGAGGCCCACCTTTTGTTGCAGCCTCTCAGCAAGCGAAACTGGGAGGCCTCTCGTCCTTTGGCTTTGGTGGAACAAATGCTCACGTGCTACTCTTGGCCATCAGACGACCGGCCTTCACTTTCTGGGAAAGAGTCAGTTTACCACCCCAAACTCACAGATGAACCGGTCATTCTTGGTATCAATCATGCTTTTTGTTGGGGTTGAAATAACTGTAAATACCTTATTTTACTTGGGATGAAGATCCGATTAGCAGTTATTTTGATATTCACGAGGCGTTTCGCGGGTTTTGACCCATCCTGATAATTCTGTCGGCTAAAACATGTAGACATCACCATGTTTGCAGGTTGAGCCCCTTGTCACAGATTCACCACCACTGAGGCACTTTTACGAGTGAATCCGCCCTTCCGTTGGTCGCTGAGAACAGGGGTCCCCAGAGATTTCCCCAGATTTGGGGGTGTGTCTGGACATGGGAGTATTCTTTCCACATGCCAATGTTAGAATAGGGAACATAATTTCATTAATCATCCATTATATCCATTGGATTTGACGGGATACCCTATGTCAGATGAAGCCAATTTGAGGGGCTTGAAATGTGAACTAAAATGGTGTTGAAATGGTGATTGAAAGCACATCCACGGCTGATGTTGCCCAGGTCAAGAAACGTCTAGTACTTCTCGAAAGGCGTTTTCCGGGACCGGGGAACCATCCTGGTTTCAGCGATTCTTTCTTTCGCACATCTCCCAGTCCCATCGTGACAGGATGTTTGTTTTTGAATCTCGGCTTGTTTTGCGCTAATCACTCAGCACTCTGTTTGTATTGGTGTGCTGTAGTAGCAACGATATGATGCATGATACTGTACTCATATGGATAATTTTGGTAGGTCAGGTCATTTGATTTCTGGGTCAACGGTGGTGTTCAAGGCTAATAGCGCAACAATGATAGATTGAGTATTTACCGTTGATTGAACTGCAACATTTTGCAGGGTATCTAGTGGCGATGCTTTGAATATCTCGAGGCTCAAACGCCCCTCAAAGGAAGGACGATATCATTTATTTAAGGATTTCGATAGAATGTCTAGGTATATTATGGTATATTGTTATTTCTTTATTCCATGTTTTGGGAGGTCAAGGTTGTTTGAGGGTTCAAATTTCCACTGCGAGACCAGGTCAAAACCTCCCGACTTCTCAGGTTGCCATGCTTTTCAGTGGCCAGGAAGAAATCAGGCGATGGCTTTGTGGAGCTCTGGCGTTCAGTTGTTTATGCAGTGAAGGGATGTACCCTCTGGTAAACTAACATAATAACTATGGAAAATCACAATGTTTAATGGGTAAATCAACTATAAATGGCAATTTACAATAGCTATGTTAGTTTACCAGAGGGTAAAGGGTAATATACTTGGGGGTACAGTTGAGGTTACTTTTATGGTTATAACTTCTACGGTACAACTATGGATATATATCAACTTACAACAGGAACTGCACTTCCAAGCATTCCCCTGCCGAAAGAGATTACAGTATTCACGGTGGGCCTCCTCAGATAGCTAGCTTGGTTTATAGCTAGGCTGTGGTTTATGGTAGATGTATGGAACTAGTTGATGGGTATTGCAAAGAAAAAAACATTACTGGAGGGCACGACCTTGCAATGTTTACCACCCAGCTACAAACTGGGAGGCACATCCAAACATGAAGGAACTGCCTAATAACAGGGTTCAAAGCCAGTTTCTGAGGGGTATGACCCCTGGTACTTGTTACTTGGATATAGAGCACCAGAATCCATTCAACTCCCCTAAGCCAACCCCAGGGACATGGGTAGCCACAAGGCCATGAACATATCCAGTGGTTCTGGCCCAGTATTCCCCACCAATAGCAGAGATATTCCAAAATACCGTTGGAAAACTACACTATGCTGTAGGTTAGCAACTACTTGCGGATTGCTATAGATTCAAGCATCCTAGACACCTCAAAATGTAACCAAAAAATGCATATGTCAAAATATCACAGCAACATGTTGGTACCTAAGCTCATTTATATCCACCTGATTCTGGTGAAACCAGTTCACCCTCCCTGTTTTGACGGGTTCCAAGGATTCTTGCAGATTATCTACCCAACAAAATAGGTGGTAGCTATAGCATGCTATAGCCCACCACTGCCCATATCATCCATGGCACATTTATTCACTCAGAGTCTCAGAGGTGCGCCATTTCAAATCTTGCATTTTAAGCGTCCAAAGCTCCATTTCAATGTCTGAACGGACCCGAATATTGTAATGGCTCAAAATATCTCAAAGCCCATGGAAAAAGAGCATACTAAATCTGACAAAGTTTGTCCATTGGAGCCCTGATTTTTTTGCCATAGCCAAGTCCATCCAAATACCTAGCTGATGCGGGATGTAGTAATCACTAAACAGATATAGAAAACGTTAGAAACCCCGTACTATAATTCCAGGATGGTTCCATGATCTTTGGCCTTTTCCAGGCCTGGCGTGTCCAGGGACCTCTACGCGGCCGATGCGACCTTTCGAATAGAAATGGATCGATGTGTGGGGTCTGCTTAGCGGTGAGACGTGAGACGTGCTGGTCGTTGCCTGGGGCGTTGTGCAATTGCCAGGGCTTGGTTGTTCCCTACTTCTTAGCGCTTCAATCTGGGCTTGAAAGCCAGAAATTGATGGGTTGGAAGTACGACATTTCTGGGAGCTTATAGAGTTACTTGCAGAACCTTACTTCACACTTGAAGTCGGCCTGGTGAGAACATTTTGGATGCGGCACGAGGCAGAACTTTGCAAGTCGTACTTGGAGCACGGACTACTAGATTTGATTCTCTCAGTCTCTCAGTTGCACCTGGAAGATGTCTCCAAACATTTCTGCGTGGCTTCAAAAACATACCAAAATTGAAAGTTATTGAGTTATCCAAAATGCTCCATGCTTCTGGAAGATTTACCAACATTTATCCAAGAACTTGCATTACACAAGACATGAAGCTTATGGCTATGGGGCCAATTGCTTCACATCCCGGAGTAACAGTGTTCTCGGATCCAAGATATCCAAGGAGGACGAAGACTTCAAGAAGCTCTTGAGATGCGGCCTCAGGGGGGTGAACACTGGTGAACACCAGAAATATTGGAAACTCTCTGGGACAGTGAAGAAAGATGGCAAAGTAGCGAACATCATGAGATCTTGCTGATTTCATCACATTGTTGGAGAAATTCACCAGGTGTTGGATTAGCAATATGCTAAGTTGTCCAGAAGCCCATGATTTGAAATGAGGAAGGGGAGCTTGCCATAAATTTGCAGATTGTTCCCATGTGGGTCGTTCCACAAATCTGCAAATCATTGGAGACTTTTCAACCACCAGGATTTGGTCATCCACAAATCCGATTCCTGTAATACGGTCAGCTCATTCCAGAGAGGCACCAAGATTTGATGGCAGCCCATAAAGAGATTTCGATGGGGTTATATAGAGCGATTTGAAGGATTATAAATTATATAAATTGGGACCCCAGATACAAGCAGCACTTTGGGCTTTCTTGACACTTGACTTGCCTATCAAAATTGGCAATGGATGTCAACATGTTGGCACTTTCTACCATTTGGGTACTTCTTAAAATAGGCTACAGTACCCAAAAATTGTGTGTCTTTAGAACCTCACTGTCCTTACAAACGATTACCATTTGGGGAGCATACATGTACAGTACACAGTTTACGCCTCGTTCTCAGACACCAAAATTTGTAGCCCCTCAACGTCCTCAACAATGAGGTGCTTCGGCACTCTACTCCTTCGTGACGACATTTTGTTTGCAACACGCTATGGCGCAGACCTTGGGCTGACTACATTTTGTTCACGTCCTATGCCATGCATCGGGGTCTGACCTACATGACTTGAGTCTCGGGACTCGGGACAAATGTGCAGTATCATTTGATATAAAATATGATTATATACAGGTTATATAGTTATATGATAATATAGATACATATATATATATATATATTGCGAAGGGGAACGAGGTAACAGTGTAGCTGCACATGATGAACATGTGTACAGTCATGCATGGACCGCCAATGATATTGGCTCAAGTCCTGCGCGAGGAAAATAAGAACGCTGTCCGCATGCCATGCACTGAGATTGCCCGGCGCTATCAGCATTACTGGTACTACAGACAAAAGGGATAATCCAGAACAAGGATCAATTTGTTCACAGGTTATCAGCCGTAGGGC